AACGAGCTAAAACTTAAATAATAAGTAAAAAAAATGGTCATTGTAGCCGAAACACAGTTCTGTGCCGAACAACATTTTAATCTAAAAGATCTTCCAGCTGCAATGACTCTTTTGAATTCAGATTAATAAATGTCATTAATCTGAGCTTTTGAACCTACTTTTTGTGGCCTTTTTCCATTTAAGCACAAATTTCGCCAGTAATCTGTAGTGAGAGAGACATGAAAGAACATACTTTGTCTCTTTGGTTAAGTTTTTGTCACAGAAGTTGAGTTTTTTTTTATATATATGTTAATATAACAAAGACCCCAATTTAAAACAGCATTATCATTTATCACATAAAAGTGTAAAAAAATATGCAACTTGAAATTACATTTCATTTTGTGACATCGACTAACTTATATAAAGTTGTTCTTAAGGAGTATAATAAAATTTTGCAATCCAACAATAAAGATATGGATCTAAACAGAAGTCTTATATAGGCATTCCCAAACTGGGCTTTACAATCTACACAAATTTGAGCACAAATGACCTTTCACGACATTTTTTATCAAATTCAGTCGTAGTATCAAAATCTAATGTTAAAAATGCGAAGGTGTGTCTGTCTGTCTTTCTATCTATCTGTCTGTCTGTCTGTTACCTCTTCACGCTTAAACCGCTGAACCGATTTAGCTGAAATTTGGTACAGACAAAGTTGGAGTCCCGATAAAGGACGTAGGATAGTTTTTAAACTAGAAGTTTAAGAAGGTGAAAAGGGGGTGGGTGGAAAGTTTGTATGGGAAACCATTTATTCCACGCAGACGAAGTCGTAGGCACCCACTGGTATTAAATATTTTTGAATGTCATCAACAATTATTTAGAAAGAAAGCCTAACAAGCAATTTCGACATAGGTATTCTGGAATTGGTTAGTGTTTTAACAATATCAAATAATATATTATTATTATGTTTTTATTTATTTTTAAGCATTTAACTGCTAGATGTTTAAATCTAAAGAAAAGTTTACTAGAAAAAAATCCACGCGGACCAGGCAGCGGACGGAACTCGAACCCGCACCCTTCGCTATCCGGGCGAATGCACTGACCATTATGCTACCACGGCCCTATTCGCCGCGTCGAAATTTTCCTAGCCTTAAGCTGCAAGGCAGCGCCATCTCTTCGCATTGTAGGTATTCCACAATGTCAAATGAATACTTTTTCAAGTATTAAACATTTGAAAGAAGAAATAGCAATTATTGTTATGTTTTTATTTATTTTTAAGCATTTAACTGCTAGATGTTTAAATCTAAAGAAAAGTTTACTAGAAAAAAAAATATATTATTAAGTTGCTGCGCTCTTATATGGACTCTTCTTATGTTACGGTAAAATAATTATATAACGCCGATTATCACAACATGATTTTCTGAATATTGCCTAAACTAAACAACGCAAATTCAGTGTTTTTTATAAGGATTGTGCAAAGATATTCTGTGGTAAGGCTTTAAAATATTCTTCCTTCTTCAAAGTCTATTAATACACCATATAATCAAAGTGTCACATATAATATTCTAAGCGCGCTTTCTCCTGACCTATGCCACACAGTTTTGAAACACTGCCCACTTGTTTCCCAAAGAAAAATGTAAATTGTGCCCCATTATGTAGCACAGAGGTTAGGGGTCAGCCGAGTAAATTATTAATAACATCATTACCCGCATTAACTTGTGTAGTTTTATTGGCATGTTGCAGAAGCTTTACATCGTCATTCTGTTCTTTATTCACGTAATACAAATGTCACAACTTTTTCTTATTAGGATATCTCGATTAAAACCTAGATTCAAATCAAATGATGCATTATACTTAAAGCCTTGATATGGTTATTATAAAACGATCTAAATATTTTTTCCTTGTTAGGTGAAAAAAAAACAATCCAATGTAATTAACTTGTTTTTAAAATAGTATATCTAAACATATTCTATTAAGATCACAGAACAAAGACTTCTTCAGACAGAGTACTGTGGTTAGGATCATAATATGTATTAAAAATACAAACAAAATATATAGGTACTTATATCTTTTTATTTTTTAAGCATTTAACTGCTAGATTTTTTAAACTAAAGAAATTTTCACTAAAAAAAATTTCATGCGGACCAAGCAGCAGACGGGACTTGAACCCACACCCTCCGCTATCCAGGCGGATGCACTGACCATTATGCTACCGCGGCCCTAATGGCCGTGTCGAATTCTTTCTAGTATTTCTTAGGCTTTGTCTGCTGCTTGGTCCGTGTGGAATGTTTTCTAGTAAAATATTCCTTAGATCAAAAAATATACTTACTTTACTGCGATCGCCTCAAATTAACAAACACTTACTTGCAATGTTTATAATCTTATGACGGAAACTTAAATATTTTCAGTGTAAGTTCTAAATCTGATGTTATGCAACCTACCTAATCAATAATGAAATGATACATAACCAATCGAAATTGATACCAATAAGATTTCAAAATAGTTTTGACTCAATAAAAGCATCTCAGTTTTATTTAGGTGCAGTGCACCAACAGCAACCGCAAACCACAAATTGTCATTCTGCGTGTTGCTTATATGACATAATATGTTTTCACTTTGCAAACATTTCACTCACTAGGACTGGTCGACCGGAAAATAGACGAGTATACACCATCTTAAGTAGAACCACATGGGTAAAGAAAGCAAAAAGGCCAAGGGGTACAGCTTCATGTAGTGCGCGTGTGTGTATGAGCACTGGCGGCCTATCGCCGCCGATAGAAATGTTTCTCTGCGTACACACACATAAGCACGCGCAATAGATTTATTTGATGGTAAGAAAAATAAAGTACCCATTTTTGGCATATGTATTTAACATAAATATTGGGAGCGATTTCACCATTCTGACAACAAAGTAGTTAATAATATTACTGAAAAACAAGAAATAGAAAAGTATTTATTAATCTATTGTCACGCGCCCGAAAACGTGTAGGATTGGCGGAGCCTAAAATGACGTCACCTGCTTGTAAATATTGTACTGTGGCGTCACCTGCTTGTAAGACGCCATATTTACTAGAGAAACGTTTCCATATTTGCTAACGCATATTTGAAAACACACTTTTTATTTTCGTTTTTTACACAAGTAAATAGCTTATGAATATCCCTGGTATCCTGGTTAGCCCTGAGGTTTTTTTTTGTATCTGTAATGTGTAATATGAGGGTTAATAAAATTATATTCTATTCTATTCTAATATTTTCAAAAAAATCTCAAATAGCGTATTGTATGTAGTTTTCTTTCTGTATCTCTTTACTCATATGGTAGAAACCTATCAAATGTGACACAATCTTCAAGTGTCATACGCCAGGAATGCGAGAACCCATTAGAAGCGGGTCAAGCTATGTACATACGCTTATCTCTCATAGAACTTACATCTTGTTTGTTTATAAAGACACAGTTCACTGTTGATTTATGCAACGATAGTCCTTAGGATTCTATCATTAGTGCGTACAACAAGGTGTTGGAGAGACTTGAATTGAAATTTCTAAACGGCATGTCAAGCCTCAATGAAAAGCATGTTCAATGAGAAGCTCTATGTCACGGTAGTTGAGCAATGACTGGCTATAGGTTGGATCACCAAAAATATATTATCTCAAGCTTCACCGTGCTTCGCAAGGCACATCAAACCGTAGGTTTTGCCGTTGTAACCCACCAATCCTCCAGGTCGTGGTCCATACTCCCTATTTTATTCATAAGGAAGGCATGTGCCTTCACCTAATGACCTCTAATGGTGATGCTAAGCTGTAATGTCAATCAACAATTTTGCATCTACAAACTCCAATATAGATTACAGCTCGGCCTGTCCTAACGCATACGTAATTGTAACTTAAATAAGTGCCTGTAGCCTTGCGATAGGTAGAATGAAATTAAAATAAGGGTAACTTGATATAACTAGAATGTCAAGTTCGTTTTGTGCATGGAGATTAGAGAGAAGGAGAACTATCGCTACGTGCTAAAGCCTGTCCCTGAAAATTTGTAGAATTTATAGTTCATATTTCAGCCACTAGCCGCGCTGCCGTCTGTAAGTAGTATCTGTGAAGTTAGCTATTCATGAGTAGGTAATTTGATGAAGTTAGTTGAATAATATAGAAATTTTTTTCGCGGCATTGGGCATTTCAATTTGAAATGCACTAATGATAGAATCCTAAGGACTATCGTTGCATAAATCAACAGTGAACTGTGTCTTTATAAACAAACAAGATGTAAGTTCTATGAGAGATAAGCGTATGTACATAGCTTGACCAATTTCAATTTGAAATGCCCAATGCCGCGAAAAATATTGTGCTAATGCACACAACAGCCCGCTTTTATTGAGACAACTTGGTGATCGCAGCGCCTCACTTATTTTGTCCATATTTCTGGAACACTATTTTCTACAGCGATCGTTCTCCTTCTCTCTAACCTCCATGGTTTTGTGCCTCGTTGTTTTAAATAAATACATCAGGAAGCGTATCATATACAATACGGTAGTACAAGACAGCTTTCAATCAAAGAATGTTACGTCATATCATTGTTATAGGCGTCCCCTTGTCAAAATATATAGATACGTCATACGCCTATAAACATTACGAGCTGATTTGCATAGATTACACGTATGTAATGTTGTTTATAACATGGAGCGCCTGCGTTTTAATGCATGTAATTACATATTTCATACGAGGTATATTAGGCCACAATAAGTCGTTGCGCCTGCGAATTCCCTCGCATATACTGAAATTTTTAGGTTTTGCCACCTAAACCAATCTTTTTAAAGTAAACGTCTCTCAAAGGTATTTTATTAAAATAAACAATCAAACTATCTACTCAATCATTATGTTTTTCACGTTATATTTATTTTATTTTTATTTGATGGGGTGACTACTTAAACTATTGCTTTAGGTGGTATCCAGAATAAAACTTTAATGTGTTTGAAAAATTATGGAGGTTTTAAGTTTAATAATTATTAAAGAATTTTTCTCCATCTTTACAGATGATACCAGAGATCTCAACGCGGAATCATCCGAAATCATATCAGAAGCAGTGCTGCCTCCCGCCGCACTCAAACAAGAAGAGCAAGACAATGACAACGCCGCAGCAGCAGACCAGACGGACCACTCCATAGAGCTGGTGGGCGATTCACAATCATTCTTCCCCTCCTTCGCGAACCTCTTCGAAAGTCGGGAGAACCGACAGCAAAATAACTACAGATTCGGCTTCGGAAATGAGGGTGCCTATAGTCAGAGGCCCAACTCTTACAGATCTCTGCTGAACTATCCTTTATTCGGCAACTACAGAAACTTCGAAGGATTCGGGAAGCAGAGCACTCCTACTGCAGCGCCACTTGTTGACGCCAGTTCCAGTGTTCTAGGCTCCGGAAACTTTGGCATAATCAAAGGAGGCACCTTCTTAGGACAGAACGATGAAGATGATTACAGCGACGGCTTCAATTCCTTCTACAATAACGGCCACGGCAGACCGTCCATCGGCGTCGGTTATATAGCTAATCCCAGACCTAATTATAATCAAGATCAATTCGCCAATTTCAGAGACTTCGCTGATATCAACGCTCCCTCTAACTCCGCTTACTCCCACTTTGTCGTAGTCTACGCTAACAAGAATGCCACGATGGATGAGATCAGCGAAGAAACGAGACGAGTCGTATCAGAGCCCAAAAACATCATCGAAACATTGGAGCGACTTGACAAGACTACGTCAACTTCACCACCTAAAACATCGAAGACCAAAGTCAAGTTAGCGGCAACGAAGCAGAAGATGCTTAACAAAAAGGAGCAGTGGAAAAAGAAATACCCAAAGTCCCACAGTTTAAAACATGATCCGGAGGAGCCTTTACTGGCGTTAAGTTAAAGTTAGTATTAATACAAAAAGACTTGCGTTGCGTAAGTGATATACCAGTTGGAAAGTGTGTGACATACGTCGCGCCTGCCGCCGATGTCGGGGCGTGACTAAAAAGTTCTGTGTCTAAACTTAATTTTATGTAAGTGTCGTATGTGTACGATTGTGTAAGTGCTCTCCGATGCTTGGGTGACGAATGTATGACAATATTGTAAGACATGAGATGTGATGAATTTAAATTAAAGTATTAAGATTTTTTTTTCTTGTATTTTTTTCATTCATCTTAGAATTCCCCTGTTTAGCTAGGTATCTTAGTAGTTATTAAAGGTATTGCGATGTGGTGTTGAAAGTAGCACAAGCGTAGTTTACAGTTACAAAATTGAACTAGTTCCATGTAACTAATGAAGAGCTCGTTACTGTTAAATGCATTCATGCTTAAATATTATCTGGGTACGATTCATCAAAGTGAAAGTTTGCTTTATGTATGTACAAGCACAGAGTACATAATCTTTTACCACACTTATCAAACTTCATTTGAATAAGAGATTTAGCCGCTGTCAAATTTGAGTCATTATGAGACCTCCGAAGAGTAATAGCTCGCTGATTTATTTTATTCATTGATGTTCAGACAACCTTAAGCATAGATTTAGCCAAAGATTTGAATCATTTTTAGCATAATATAACATCAGAAGTATAAGTTCTAAGTGTGGCCATGGACCAATGCCAATTAAAGATTTTCCTGCGTAATTAAGCATAGTGAATTAAAAATAGAACAATTTCCCGAGTAAGAAAGTAAGCAGCATTAAGCTAATATTATGTATAAATAGGAGCTCGATCGCTCAACTTGATAGAGCCCGCGGTCTTTGATCGTAGAAGTTAAGGAACTTTCGTAATGGCCGGTCATCAGGCTTTAGCACCCACCAATCTACACTGGGTCCGCACTGGGTGGGTCATTGCCAAATCTAAATCTCCCTATTCCATCTATAGTGAGTTTAATAGTCTTATGATAATGAAATAAATAAATATTTCTAACAGTGGCACCAATTAACCTAGCCCCAAAGTAAGCACTGTAAAGCTTATGTTATGGGATTCTAAGATAAAGGATAGAAATATATAAAAGGACACTTAGATGATTTAGATACAAATATGCTAGTATTCATCATAAGAAACATTTGCCCCACTGAGATTCCAAACCTCTGGAATAGTCGACATCTTATAATACTATTTCCCCTACGGAAGTCGTCTATAAATCATTTTTTTATATGTAATTAAAAGCAGACCTTCTCTTAGTACATAAAAACCGTTTTTTAATTTTAGAACTTTATACTTGTATTAAATGTTGATACACACATCAAAAGTGTCTAGGGATCAAGCATTTTTATGCGGATTTCTTGAGATTGAGATGTGGCTTTGTAATAAATTTATGATTTTATAAATTTATATGGATCCTTTTTGGTGCATTTCATAATTTGAATCAGGAACTGTGAATCAAATTCGAGTAAAAGATGAAAATCAGCTGTCAATATTTTCCCTATAAAAACATACAACGCATTGAAGACATTATTAGTGCTACTGTTTCCCTACTACTGATTAAAACCAACGTTATTATGGAGCGGCGACGTCATTTAAGCAGGGAAGAAATGCTCAGAGCCGTGGGAATGATAGAAGCTGGTACCCGGCAACCTACTGTGGCTTTAGCTCTGAATACAAGTCAGAGTGTTATCAGTCGACTTTGGACACGATACCGAAGCACTGGTACCGTGCCTGAGCGCCATGGAGGACGGTATCGCTGCACCACACGGAGACAAGACCGATATATTCAAATCTTAACTCGAAGAGCTCCAACAATAACCGCCATGATGTTAGCCGTGAGGCTTCATCACTCTTCAGGGAACTTAATTAGCGACCAAACAGTCAGAAACCGCTTGCATGAAGTGAACCTTCATTCCCGAAGACCGCTACGGGTACCACCTATAGCAATGCACAATCGTAGGATTCGATATCAATGGGCTCTTGAACACAGAAATTGGGCAGAAGAACAATGGCGTTTCGTGTGCTTTTCTGATGAGTCTCGTTTTGGTATGAGACCGGATACAAGACGTATACGACACTGGAGAACCCCTGGACGCCAACAGCCTTAAAATCCTGCCAGGAAGTCCATCCTTATAGTGGTGGAACCATCATGGTATGGGCGGGTATTTGGATCGGCGGAAGAACTGAGTTGATTTGGATCAGAGGCAACCTCAACGCTCAAGTTTATGCTGAGACGATTGTATCAGACGTCATCGTTCCTCTACAAGTGCAAATCGGTCCCTTATTTCAGTTAATGCATGATAATGCACGACCGCACACCGCAAGAGTTGTAAGACAGACTCTCGCCGCAGCTAACATCAATGTCCTGCCCTGGCCTGCTCAGTCGCCAGACTTGAACCCGATTGAGCATGCATGGGATATGCTACAGAGAAGAGCTCTGCCGAATATGGAGGGTATCCAGTCGCAAGAAGACCTTTTTTTGTTGTTGCAACGAACATGGGCGGCCATTCCACAGCGTGATTTGGATGAACTCATTTTGAGTATGCCAAACCGATGTTCTTGTGTTGTTAGTGTTCGCGGTAGAAATACGGATTATTAATTGTTTAAGTTACCCAATAAAATTTTAGAGAAAACTGTTATTTCAGTCTTTTTTTCGAACTTTTGTGTTAGTGGTTCAAATGTCAAAAATCCCTTTATTAGGAAAATGGCAAATTTCTTTATTAATGCAAAGGTGACTTGGTTTATCGTTACTGTGACAAACGAAAACACTTTATTTGATGAATCCTTAAAGAAAATTTTAATTAATATCAATCAGGAGAAAAGTTATTGCAAAAATATATGTTGATCCCTAGACACTTTTGATGTGTGTATATTCAAAATCAGGGTTAAAAATATTACTACCTAGTCAGGTCATAAATTCTGTCACATGTTTAATATAAAATAATTGAAACAAGTTTATTCATTATGTAACCATTTATATACCAAAATGAACTTAACAAAACATAGATTCTTATGATAAAGTTTATTCAAAATGACCTCCGTGATTTTGAATACAGGCCTTCAATCTGCGCGGCCAGTCGTCTATCGCAGCACGAACGAGGTCCATGTCAATATCGGCGGCTGCCTTAATCAAGGATGTCTTAAGTGACTCCAAATTGGGATGAGGCTTGAGCACGCCTTTTCCTCCAAGTGTTGCCATATCTTGTAATCTTACGGACTCAAATCTGGACTGGAGGAGGGCTTCGTGCCGGATGAAGTCGATATCACGCGTCAGATATCAGGACTGTCTTTTGATACACAACTGCATTCGTTTTTACACCTTTCTCACAAAAACCTCTCTACCTCTGTTAATCCCCAATAAGAAACTCCCAACCATACCATGAGCGAGGATGGAAAATGACCTCGTTGGACACGCGGAATACGGTTGCTCGCTTCTTCACTACTGTGTGCGTACATGTATGTTGTAGCTCACTTCTACGGTAAATTTTTTTTCATCCGAAGAAAGAATTTCCCGATATTTTTTTCCCGCGTACCGCTTCAACAAAGCGCGGCTTCTCTTCAGTCTCAGGACCATTAGACGAGCATTCAAACGATGTCCTGTTTTTCTTCAATATGCCCGAAGCCCTAAGTCTTCATTTAACACCCTTTTCATCGTGGTTCTGCTTAACCCCATCTGAAGGGCCAACAGTTTCTGCTTACGTTTGGGATTTCGTTGAATTCGCGCCTTCACAGCTTTTATCACTGCTGGAGTCCTAACAGACCGAGGGCGACCACTTCTTGACCTGTCAACTACAGTAGAGTCTTCATTGTATCGTTTGATGGTACAATAAACGAATCTTTTTTTTATTCAAATTTTTCAGTATGTAAAATTTTTAATTGGCGCGTAACCGCAACGATGCAACGCAATAACTGCAACACGGACTTCTTTAAGCGTCCACTCCATATTTAAAAATGAGTAGAATTCTAAAAAGTATACATTTTTATTTTCATGAACCATTCGAAATTAGAATTAAATAAACTTTTTTGTGGCCAGCATTCTTTTACTGTATGACAATACTTACGACCTGACTGTGTATAACCGCCTGATAGTAAGCCGTCATCATCACCTAGAAAGTATGATCGCGCGCGTTGTTAATCCTGAGACTCCGTCCCTTACCCTTTCGTTCCCTTGAACTTACTCAGCGGACGCGATCTGAGAGACATTTGAGAAATAGGTATGTAATACAATAGGTACAATTCTATACAAAACACTTTATTGTACACCACAGAAAACATTACATTTAGTACAAAACCAATTAAAACTAGTGTAACAAAGGGCGCCTTTATCGCTAAGAGCGTTCTCTTCCAGACAACCTTTAAAGGTAGTGTGTCACTGCGGTCTTCTGTGAGGAGAGGAAGACCGATCCTTGTAATCCTGTCCTATAATCCTACTGGTATCAACTCAACGGATTTGCGTGAAATTTGGCACAAAGATAGTTTATTATTTGAAGTGGATAATTTTACCATGTGCTTTTACGGCGTAAAGATATTAGGTTCTTATCTGTTCAATAAAAATCAACTACAATACTAGACTGGGGGCCCACCGCCTATCGGTATTGCTATGGCTATAGCTATTGCTTAGGTTTTCAAATACCTCACGTTATATATTTTTTGATATTGTTATAACCAATACAAAAGAAAAAAAGCGCGCGAGGTATTTGAAAACCTTCGACGGTCAGAAATAATTTAATGAAATCATAAGCTATAGCTATAGCCACAGCTCTCCAAAAACTTCATCCTTAAAAATTCCATAAAACTGTCTGCCTACAAATAATAAATTCGAATGTTGAAAGCTCCTAAGCTATTTAAATAGCAACAAAATAAAAGCTTTTTACAAACACAAAAAAAAGGCATCGTGTGGGGTCCCATCCCGGTATGGTGGATGCAAGGTAGGGCCAAGGTAAGGCTAGGTACCTTAGCAGCAAAATAACAAAATATCCTGCTGCAAAAACCTCAGTGGGACATAGCAACCATTGCCATCAATTACTACCTCATATTCAAACTATATTCAATTCATATGATTTTGGATACATCAACTTTTAACATGACTCTGCAAATAGTACAAAATATGTAATAAAGGGGACGGCCTTAGGCGATACTTACATTGCTCCGCACTACGCTGCATAGTGCAGAAATGCGTTGCTTGCAAGAGTGAAACACGTAAGTAGTAAGGAAACAATGCTCTGCAGTGTCGAATGCATGAATGAGTATAATCCAAAGAAAAATATACTAGAAAAAAATCCACGCGGACCAGGCTGCTGCCCGTCTGCTGACGGGACGCGGAATTCGCTATCCGGGCGAATGCACTGACCAATTATGCTACCGGGGCCCTGACGGCCTTGTCGAATTTTCTCTTGCCTTTCTTAAGCTGCAAGGCAGCGCCATCTCTTCGCATTGCAGATAACCTTTACAAGTATTAAACATTTGAAAGAAGAAATAGCAATTATAGTTATGAGTATAATCAAGTTAGAAGAAATAGTGCTAGAAGATATCAGATACACCCCTTTTTAGGATAAATGGGTCATTTGTTTAGTATTATAGTTAGGATTTTTCAGACAAAGTTTCTTGTTGAACTTCTTTTCCACAAGTCTTCTCGTTTTTCTAGTTGCAAACTTGTGTCAGCGACAACGTTAAGTTGAGTTTTCACCTCTAACATCGGCTCTTAAACTTAATTAAAACGTCAAGTTATCTATTCATTACATAAACAGTGGTGTTTTTCTGCAGACTAGGGTTTTGTTAAGATCCCTTTCCGTGAGTTCTGCATTAATAACCATTTTTAACAGACTTCAAAAAAGGATGTTCTCTGTAGCGTATTCTGTATTACACTAAAAATGGAAAAAATAGAAACGACTTCATAAAGAAACTGACTGCTATTCAAAAAGTCGATACCAAGCCAATGAATGAAGTCTGTTAATAAAAAAAATTAGCAAGAATATTAAACCGCCGAAAAAACTGAACAGCAGAAAATAATACACCCATTTTATCTTTTGTCAAATTAATATTTGGGGTCAGTGCCATGCATGTCTGATAGATCTGAGTTCCCATTTACATTTGAAAGTTCATGAAAAGCACTATTATCACGATTATTTTCAGATTTTTCAAGCTTATAATTATAGTTAGTTATGTATTTTATTTAAAGGTTTAAAATTTCACAAATGGATCTCTGAATCGAAAAATAGTCTTAGCAACCCCTTTTAAAGGACCTATTCAACTATTCCCCACACGATGAAGTAGACGATGAAAAAAAGTTCACCCCCACTTTAGATGTAGGGGAGCTACCCTAAAAGAATGTTTTTTTTCTAAATTCATATGGGAAACACTTTAGAGTTTCCACCTTTCCATTAAAAAAATAATATTCAAATTTGGACTTCTCTATAAAAAGTTATTCGTGATCGTACATAAAAAAATTTCGTCGAATTGATAACATCCTCGGTTTTTTTCGTCAGTTGAAAAATGAGATTTAGCGCCTGATATATTTAAATTTGATAGCAAGCCATGAGTTTAGCAGCGAGATAATGTTATTGGTAAACCTATTTTTTCATTTTCAGTTTTTTGAAGTCGGTTCTATTTTATTTTTTTCTTTATTAGTGTTAAATGGAAGGAATACTTAATATTGAAAACAATGCTCTTCAGTGTACTACACCGCATACTATAGGTACTGTAGTTCCGTGCGTTTGTGCGGCAAAATCTACATGATGATGCATCTGCAGTCCCGCAACCACGAAAGGCGTTTTACATTTTTCCATAGGTACTCATTTCGACGTAAACACGCAAACGCCATTGTAAAGTTAAATCGAGACACTACTCACACTCGGTCTCAATCTCAATATTACTTCTATTAAGGAGTCGTCCACTATTAAGAAGACTCTGGTCCGCGATTGAAATAAATAATATAATAGGACAGCTGATCACTGGAGCCGTGCGTGTAGTCTATAATAAAAAAATATTACAGTGCAGACAAAGTGCTGCGCAACTGTCACTACTATTTCTGTTACCGAAGTGTAAACTTCGGTCACAGAAATAGTAGTGACAGCTGCGCATCAATTTAAATTTACTATCGCGTTTGCGTTTACGTCAAAATTTGTATGGAAAAATTTAAAGCGCCGTCTAGTAGTGTCAAAATATAGTAATTTTCTTTATAAACATTAAAAAAGCAAAATAGTAAAAACAAAGCGAGGCGCAACTCGCACTGGAAAATATCCCCAACCTTGCAATCCGTCGCCTGTTTCCCAGCATGTGACGTTGCTCTATTTTCTTTCGTTTCCCATTCAGCAAGTGTCTACAAATTAATTATACAATAGTAGCCGCCGCCCGCCACTTCGTTCGCTATAATATAAGTTTTATGAGAAGCCCTCAGGAAGCTGACGCTTTACCGGAATAAAAAGTACCCTATCTCAATCCAGGTCATAAACTATATGCGTACCAAATTTCATCCAGATCCGTTCACTAGATTTTGCATGATTAACTAACAAACAAACAGACATACAAACTTTTACATTAATTATGATAGAGATAAATTAATCAATAGAAAAAACTCTAGACGGCTTATAAACTCTGGACACTAGATGGCACTAGCTATTGCTCAAAAAAAGAATAGGGTGTAAAAACCGCAATGAAGCAAAATGTTTTGTGAACAATTTCAGTAGTTTTTATATCAGAAAACGGCAGGCCTAATGTCAATTTTCATTTATTCATTTAATTCACTAAGCACATGTACATAATTTAAATCAGACTTCAGGAAAGTTTACCGAAAAGAAGCCATGAACATAGTATTTTTTAATTATTTATCATTATTGTTAACAAAATATTTTTTAACAAGATAATAAACAGGAATATAGAGTACAAAAAAATAAATAAACAATAAGTATTAGATTCTTTCTTATATTCTTGTTCGTCTGAATGGATGTATTTATTCTGCCATCTGGCGTCGAATAGAAAAACTATTTACTATGTTTTTGCTCCTAGTCACAGCGTGCTTTTAAGACAACAGAGAATGAGAAGTTTCACACTTTCATAATCTGTGATTCTTCATTTAAATAAATGATATTATTTCTACTTAATTTTATTTTTCAAATATTTTTAAATATTTTATACTTAAAGAAACATTTCTTCCGAAAAAATATTTATGTCCTTCACTATTTTTGTCATACCAACTGACTGTTAAAAATACCTTATAGTCTATGGAATAGACATAATCTGGACTGAAATGAATTAATAGTGAATGTGGACGGTTTTAATAAAAATTGTAGGAAATTAGTGCAAATGCTATAAATTTTTACTTAATTTGTATTTCATAACTTGAACGATTATGTCGTTAACATTATTAAATCTGTAAAAATCCTTTTTTTTTGTATAAATTCAACAATATGTACTCCAGCAAAGATGCGGCAAATCCGTCGTATCCCACGCAATGGGCCTTGAATCCTAATGCGTATCAAAATGTGGACTCGAGTCAGGTAGACTGGGCTGCTTTGGCTCAGCAATGGATCGCTATGAAGGAAGCGGCGGCGATTGTGGCAGCGCCGCCGCCACCTTCCATGAAATCTGATGCTGAAGAAGGCGAGGCGCCGATGGAAGTTGAAAATCCTGACAATTCAGAGGCAGTTGCCCCACCCGCACCTGAATGGAATGCATCCACTAATTCATGGGGTAACAATTGGAACCAATGGGGTAAGTAATATCTTTGATTAACATAACCTATCTTTTGTTAAGTACTTTTTGATTTCTTTAATATACTAACATCATTTTAGCAGCACTGCTTGATGTTCAAGTATAACAAAATATCAAAATAATAAACATTCTTCATCTGGTTCTAGGCTGGGGATGGTCGGGAAGTGGCACTGTTGATGCCAAGTTGGCAGCAGATCAAACTATGGCAATAAGGCAAATGATGGATGGGTACTCTGGAGACAACAATGCATCTATGCCTGGGTTGGTTTCATTTTATCTCTCAGTAAATTAAATAAATACTGATTAATACTGATACTGATAGAATGATTTGTTACATTCATGCAGTCACAATTTTTAATTACTAAACAAAATATGTATAATATTAATACCTAGAGTGAGATCTTCTCTTTTTTGGCAATATTGTGACTACCACAAATTCTGCCAATAACTCATAGATGGATGCTACACAGTGGTTTTGTATTTTAATGTCAACAGTCAACTATAAGCAGTTGTGTATTTCAATTGCAGATATACAACTGGGGGTGTGCCAACCCCAACATTCCAGCATGGTTATTGGACTGCTCAGCCTTCGGAGAGTAACGACAGCAGGAGCAGCAGTCGCAGCAGAGATAGAAGGTCCAAGAGTAGAAACAGGGATCATAAGTCATCTAGGAGTTCAAGGGCCCAAAGGTGATTGTTATTATGCACTACACAGAGCTGTTGTTACTATAAAAACCTGCTCAACTAAAAGTATTGCAAAAACCAATAACCCATCAAAAATTGCTAGTAGCCAAAAATCTAAAGTGATTGATAAATATTAAGATATTGCATCATTTCCTGTTTTCCAAACGAAAACATCTTCCATTCCATCCTCTATAATTTTATACATAAAGGACAATGGGCAAAACGCACCCAGCTCCGCCAACAATGTAATTAGTATGAATCGATAGATCTATGAAAAACTAGCCTTTTTTATTATGGCACCGAAAAAAAATAACCTGGGGGTCAAAAGATATACACCTGGGTATGTTCTATATTAGGGGTTAAGGTTTCCGCACATAGTCCTTATAGACGACCTTTGTGTGTAAGTCATGGGGACCGGTTACACACGGGCATATTTAAATAGCTCCTTATAGAGAATCTCGATGGCGCAGGTGGTTAGCGCGTTCGGTTGCGATCGTTGAAGTTAAGCAACTTTCGCAGTGGTCGGTCATTGGATGGGTGACCAAAAACATCTATCTCGAGTTCCTCCGTACTTCGGAAGGCACGTTAAGCCGTTGGTCCCGGCTGCATCTGCAGTCGTTAGCACCCGCCAATCCGCACTGACCCCGCGTGGGGGGTCATGGCCCACACTCCCTATTCCATCCATAGGCCTGTGCTCCAGCAGTGGGGACATTAAGAGGCTGATGATGATGATATTTAAATAGCTAAAGAAATTCATTCAATATCAATAGTACTTAACTGTGAGGCTTGTGTTATGGATTGCTAGGGTAACGGATAGAATACATTATGTAGTACATTTATAAGTATATTGATATAGAAATACATATTAAACATCTATGACAGGAGTACAAATGCTCGTACTCAGCACACAAACATCTGCCCCCACCAGGATTCGAACCCGGGACCTCTCGAGCCAGTGACACCATGAAACCCGGCGTACAAACCACTTGACTCGGATATATTAATTGACGACCTCCGTGGTCGTCAATTAATATATCCGTTCTATATACTCGTCCTTGTATCTTCAAATATTATGTTCGTTATAGTTACTTTTACCTATGGAATTGTACCTATTTAACTTAAAATAACTAAAGACTCCCGGAATGGAATTTGATGCGCTTTGGCACAAATGATCATGACTATGATACCTTTCAAACAAATGTAGTTTAAGCCGTGGCGGACGTGGGTGCAGTGTCCATGCAATTTTGCCCATTGTCCTTTTGATTGTGATATTGCTAACCAAAAATGTGTGGAAGAGATTTAATGGTAACTGATTTTGATTCCCACACTTCTATTTTTCATTTTTTTAGTTTGTCCTTGTCATATTAATGTAAAGGGTAAGACATTTCTTTTTAAAGTAATATGTATAGGTTAAATTAAAATTAACAAAGTACTCAGGCGCCAGACGTACCTCAATAGACATGCCAGAAGGGCATTGAACTATTAATTGCAAGGCGAGTGGAAGCAATGTTGCCTATATATTGAAATTTCGAAGTGCCAATGATTTCTTGAATTTAGAAGCTAGGTCCAGTTATCCTCTTATATTTATAATCTTTATCTGAAATTAACATAATGAAAGAATTTTCACTTACCAGCATAATCATGTATGTCCTTATTAGTACATATTTGTGCTAACTGTCCCTGCTGCATCTTTGTTATTTGTTAAGTTGAATGTATGAATGGAAACCTCGCTCACATGTAAAGGGATATTTTCTGGTCCAATATAAAATTCTCGTAAAGTATAAAAAACCCGCCTATGGCTGAAAATAAACAGTCCTCAGATAAGCACATGGCACAAAACAAAAGGCAGTGTATAAAACGAAAAAAAAATCAAAGGCTCTCACCATTTTATAAAGAAACTAGCGGCCCGCCCTCGCTTCGCTTCGGTGTAGAGCTGAAGTGTAGACTACAGTTTTTGTTCTCAGGCTTGTATTATACACAATGACATTCATCTATGATTCTTCTTATACCTGCATGCAAAGTCTCAGCCCGATCGGTTTAAAATTGATAAAGTTTCATACAAACTTTCATTCCTTATTTTATCCCCTTGGGGTTTTCTTTATATTTTTTTCCGTAAGAACCTTGTACAGAGTATTAGAAAACTACAAAAAAAAAACAGCCAAATCGGTCAAGCCGTTTTCATGTTATGTCGTGACAACGGAAAACGGGTTTCATTTTTATATATATAGATTAAACAAACAGGCAGACAGCCATCTCAACGGCAAACTTATGTCTCCTGCTAAAACACAATCTACATGTAATTTACCAAAATATATATAGGAAAACACTTTTCAATTTAGAAAACACCATAAAAAATTATTGATTAAGTTACAAGTTTAATATGTTAATAACTGAGATTACTAAATTCTCATCCTGTAAGTAAAAAATTTTGTTTCGAAGTGACTTTAAAATTTTCTTCCTTTTTGTTCCTTTCAAAAGGCATCACTCTAGAAGCCTTGTTAAGCCACAGAAAATAAAAAAAACGCATGGACTAACGAAAACGATCTATGAATATTTATAAAACAGTGAAACAACCTTCACAGAGGCCTTCTATCTCTCTCTTCAAACAAACAAAACTCATGTGACGATTTTTACACGTTAAATCCTGTGCAAAAAATATATCACTGGTTAAATGTTACCAATTTATACTAAGTAAAAGATAGCGACATGTTTTTAATGCATCTTAAAATGATGTGTATTCTTATTTATTAATTTTATTTTTAGAGATAAGATATCGGCACCTGTCATAGCTCCAGTTATAGAGCCGATGGTTATCCCAGCACCCGTGCCCACGCCAACCATTGATGCGGCTAAACGAAGACAACTACCTGCTTGGATCAGAGAGGGTATATTTAATATAGTATCTTTGCATTTTTTTAATATTTTCACACTATTGTTTAAAGTACCAAGGGAAAGTCCCCTTTGGTCACAATAACTTATTTATGGTTGTTTGCTGAATAAAATAATAGGGAATCATTGAGTTATATCACTATAATATTTACGTTGTTATTAAAACTAAGCCAGTAATCAAACACATTTTCAATACAGGACTAGAAAAGATGGAACGTGAGAAACAAAAGGCGCTAGAACGGGAACAAGAGAAGAAAGCTAGAGAAGAAGCAGAAAAGGAGAAGAAGAGACTGGAAGAAGAAGAAATGGCGCGAATGAAGGCAGAAGCCGGTGGAGAACCAATACCACCACCTAAGAGCAAATTTGTAAGTACAATTATTTTCTTAAAATGTTATACTTACAAACATTTTCAGATTTCACAGGCTTTGCCAATTTGCCTGCTCAATAAAAATATAAGATATTCTAGAAATAACTTCAAATTGTGATACACCAGATTGATTAGATTCGATTCGTTTCTTAAATATAGTTAACTACAATATTTAAGAATTACAAAAATCCCTTACATACAAAAATTTACCTTGTGCTTCATATGTCGTGAATCCTCACAATGTACAGTACAATCCCTTTATTATGACTTCGAAGGGAATCGACAAACACGTCATACTAAGCGGACGTCATACAAAGCATTTTTCTGAAAAAAGATTGTGAGATGAGTTTGATTCTCCATTTTCTAATCAGCATATTATTGCATCTTTTTCCTCAGTCGTAAATGCTTTACGAAGTTGAGATAACATTTTATTACATAGGATATCACTAAAAACAATGCTTGATGTTCAATTTGAATCAACGAACATTACCATAGGTGTAAAGAACCATGTCGGTCACTATAAATGGACAAAATTGATTAAAAATGGGTCATAATAAGCGACATGTCACTGTAAGCGAAGTCATTATATCCGACATTGTTACAATGAATTTTATATGAAAACCAAACTTCGTTGTGTAATTACGTCATATTAGGCGGTTGGTCAATATAGGCGGAGTCACAATAAACGGATTCTACTGTATAAGGTCATGTTGATCATAAATGAGTGTACAAAGGTTAACATAATATATAATACATATCTAAACTAACCAAAATCTCACTCGAATAAACACATAATATTAATTTAAGTCATTACAAGTACTACAATTAATGTGAATGCTACACACAGATAGTAGAAATATAAAGCAATTAAATCTCATCTCCATTTAATAAACCCTATTTTTTTTTCAATACAAGCAATCTATTTATCTTAATCTGCAAAGCAATCTATTTTAATTAATCTTTCAACGAAATTAACTAACCATTATAAAAAAAATCACAGGAATCCGATTCGGAACCAGATGATGCAGAAGAAGTGCAAGAGAGAGTTTCGTCACCTGTCGAAGCATCTAACGAGGAAGATGTTCCACAAGAAGAACCTCCTCAGGCATTCAGAAAGAGTAAAGAGGAGATAATGCAGGAAGTGGTCAGTATTATAAGTAAATTACAAATGTCATCACATAAATTCTCTATATGGGGTATCAGCTCTTAATTTCATTTTATAGACATGCACAAATCATTTCTTGTTATGGGCTGAACTCCTTATTATTTCAGAACTAGTACCATTATTTTTTTCAATTTTCGCTCTGAATAAAACAGTATGATAGGAAAAGGCGATATTAATTAGGGAAGTTACATAATATAAACAGTTCAGCCATCTATTTTGTATTATATTGAATGTACTTGATGTATATTCTGCAGTCTTAAGAAAAAGGGCACAAGTTGTGCCCAAATTTTGGAAAAAAAGCTTACTTTTTTCCAAAATTTCCTTTTATAAATATTCGGAATCAGGATAAAAAGGCCTGTCTGCCAATTTATTTATTTTTAATTTTTAATAACGATATAAACTAACTGTAACTAATAAAACTGAGCCACTTTTCATAGGTTTGTACCGAAAAAGGGCATACCAGAATGATAAGTTAAAAAGTCACAAATGAATGATGGAGATATGGCTTATGAAGATTATTTTGTTATTTTTTTATATTAAAGGATTAGTATTTTGTAATTTTCTTTCTTTTTTCCAAGTATATTTATTAATGGGTTGATTTTTAAACTGATTGGATAAAATATAATCACTTTCCACTTGTTTATGGTAGAAAAATACGCCTTTTGATTGATAATATTTCCAATTTTGAACACATAATATTAGAATTTAAACTCACATCGGGCTATTTTTGTTTTTTTTTAATAATTAAATTAATAAATTACAATTAAATAAAATCCTGAAATTCAACAGTCTCATAGAAGTCTCGTAAAATTCTACTATTTTCATGCATGTATTGTGGAAAAATAATTTATTGTGTATTTTTTTCGCCTATAACCGAAGATAAATTTTGAAGTTGATTTTCTCATAAATATAGAAAATGTCAGATGTGCTTTTTTAGGTTTTTTGGTGCCTTTTAGCCAGATAACGCGCGAATATTGTACTCTGACCTCCTAGCGTAAGCACCACGATATGATATACAAGGTTAATTTTAAAACACCAACAACCTCTTAGGGCGTGATTCTACCCATCAACAGGAACAACTTTTATTATTTATGGGACCAACCCTGAAATCGCGAAACAAAATCAGCTGTTTCATACATTTCGGTGGATTAGCTGATGCACTTTTGTATGAAACAGCAGATTCCTGTTCATGGGCAGATCACCCCTAAGGTTGTTGGAGTTTTAAATTAACCCTGTATAGCTCGTTTTTAAAACGCTCAATTGTCGATCATTTGATTTTATCATCACGTAGCAAATGGTAAAAAAGCCGATGACACGGAGATAGTTTGCAAGCTGCTAGCGAACTCGCTGGCTTGAAGCTTGTAAACTCGCCCCGTGTCATCGAGGCTTTAGTGTTCTTTCAGAGTAAAGGCGAGTGCGGGTACGAGTAGATCAAAAGTATCTAGACGCTAGGGGTGGGCGTTTTTAGAATAACTATGCGCGATAACGATGCCAGGTTTGGATGCGCGCATCCGATGCGGGTGGATAATAATAATAATAAATATGTCCAACACTCACACCAATTAGCCTAGCCCCAAAGTAAGCACTGTAAGGCTTGTGTTATGGGATGCTAGGGTAACGGATAGAATACATATACTGTACATATATAAGTATATTTATATAGAAATACATATTAAACATCCATGACTGGAGTACAAATGCTCGTATTCATCACACAAACATCTGCCCCCACCGGGATTCGAACCTGGAACCTCTCGAGTCGGCGACACCATGAAACCCGGCGTACAAACCACTCGACCACGGAGGTCGTCTAGTTGCCGATGCCATCTAGTTTTTGCCAACGTTACTATAGCAATAGTGCCACAAACTTATCTGTGCCATTGGAAATGTCGCTAGCGGTGAAACTATTAGACTTAAAAATGTCAAAATGCTATGGTAAAATTGTACTTCAAATTTTTGCCACCGGCACAGAAAAGTTTGTGACACTGGACTGCGTTCAAAACCTACGGTCTGAGTGCAATCTTTTATGTAACAATTTTGCCAGCATTCAATATTTTCTGTTAACATACCGACAAGTAAATAAATGGTTTCGTTTAAATTTTCAAGTCGGAAAATATTCATGGAATCTAAGAGATACACCCACACAAAACATGCATCTGTCGTAATTCATATCGCATCGTATCCTGTGATACTACGATACTGACATTCACTTGGCATCGATGCGCGCATCCGATGCGATTCATCCGATACCGATGCGCATTGATTTCACAAATATCTAAAAACGCCTGTGTCTTTCACAGTGCTCTAGCGTCTTTCAATGGCTAACGCGTCTGATTCTAAAACATTTACTCGCGGCAGCATAGACATCGATACAGAAGAATTTTATTATTTATCAAATGTATTGAGATCTTATTTAATATATAATTAAATGTAATTATTTACATTCTAGTGTATTCGAAGAAGTTGTCTGGGTTACTCCGTAATTCGGCGTATAGCACATTAAATTCTCCCAATCCTTCTATTTTTTTTTCACATAATATTCCCATTTTTTAAATAAATTTTCCATTAATAAAATCAAATCTTCATCCATGTCTTGATGTAGGTAGCGTGAAGTTTTAGAACCATACGGTTATACGTACACACACGCGTACGTTGGGTCTCTCAGCCGCTCTGCCACTGTGAACATAGAGACACCAAGACCCGCGCGACTCCTGCACTCTGAATAAGCACTTAGTCTAAAAATTTGTATACAGATGTTAGCAGTCCGTCGTTCACTGACAGAGATCCTCCTAGAGGTGACAGACCAGGAGATTCAAACGGTGAGCCAGGAAGAATTGGCCCGGTATAACGCCGCTCAAGGTATTTCCACTCATATAGGCTTATACAAAACGGCCCGACGCCCTCCAAGAATTTGCTCTATACAACGAGAAACTATCGCGTATTGACTGAAACTGTGATTTGATCCACTGTGATATTGATATACTATTGTATTGTATTGACACTTTACACTTAGTGAACTCGAAGAAATGTGCTGTGATAATAGAATAGAATGTGCCTTATTTGATATCTTAATAAAGTCTTTTTCAGGTGTTGCCCGTTGAATAATGAATATAAATGTGGTGTGTGTGATTAATGTTGGTTTTATTTATATGGTAAAAGCATCGCGCCTCAACGCCATGAAGGCGAGCAAGTCGAAGGCACTGGCCGCTATCGCCACTGGGCTCGGTGAGTTATGTTCCTAAAGCCTGACTTGCGGAAACATCTCGTAAACGTCTCTTCATAATAGTTTATTTATGAAAACATTCTTGACTTTTTTATTTATATTATTAAACATTTTACTTCAAACTCGACAAAGATATTGGATTCAGACACTGAATTTGATTGCAGTAGATGTGTTTTCAGTCTGCGGGATGGTTCCTTAAAACGTAACTGGTGGTTTAATTTTTTCAAAATTTTGGTTTCGGGTGCATTTCTTTTTGTTTATTATTAATGAAAATAGAAGTTGGACAACCACCATTTATGTGATGATAGAAATATGTATATCCTTTCCTTTCAGAGATGGTGCTAAGTTTGTTTCTATTTAAAAATAGTTTTGTTGACATTGGCGATACTGTTGTGTACAATTTGTACATTGAGTGTAGTGGGAATAAATTGGTAAGAATATGTCCTGAATTTGTATAGTTAATGTTATTGTTTACGTGTAAATAAATGGAGTATTTTTGGTATTCTCTTACTTAGTAAAAATAATAAAATTATAATCTGTTTAATGTGAAAAAAAGTTTGTTAAAACCTAAGCTTAGTTAATGATTATAAATTTCTTATTCCAATATTTTTCTCTGTTCATGATACAATGCCAAAAGGCGATGTAGACTTATTCTTAATTGTAATTATCTGTAAGCAATGAAAGGAAGTAGGAAAAAAAAATTAGGTGTTGTGTGGTTAGTACAGGCTGACTATATGTGGCTCAAAATCAATGATTACTTAATGTTCTTAATGAATACAAACATGATCAATTGAATACTGACTTAAAAGTACATAAGCCAAATTTGAGCAGGCTTGTATTGGACCTATTTTTCGTTACTAATGAGTCGTTATTACAGATATATTTTAATATAAATATCAATATTTAAAACTCTTTAAAACCGAAAGAATACGCATCCAAGATTTACTAAAAGTACCCAAAGTAAGTTATCCTCTCCTGCATCTCAGGGCCTAAATTATGAGATTTTCACAAATAGAATACTATAGAAGCACAAACTTTAGACTGTGATCTGAGTACTTATAAGGTCAGTTTTCCATTAACCATGCGTTCTTTTCTTTCGTTATGATTTTATTTGAGCCACATATGCCAGTAAGTGTGAGTTTGTGCAACATAGTGTTATTTGGAGCGTATATGTGCAGGACTGGGCGCTTACGAGAGCAGCAGTGAGGAGAGTGCAGACGAAGACGAACAAAACGAAATTACTGACCAACAACTACATGTATGTATTGTACACCGATGATATTATTCTAGATTAAACACAAAATCCCTTCAGGCTATTCAAAGTAAGTCAAAATTCTGCATTTGATTTTTGACCTTAGTGGTTTTATGAACCATCAATAAAGTTTCAGCATCTCCGAAACTGTTTGCTTCCAAAACTAAATACATAACTTTAAGCGGCCGCCCGCGACTTTGTACGCGCGGAGTTAGTTAGAAATAAAGGTTCTCTGCTCGTTCCCCGAAGGTGAAAGCGTGATAATATGTAGCCTATATGTTGATCTGATTTCTTAATAATATTCGTGCCAAATTTGAAGTAAATCCATGCAGTACTTTTTAAGTTTATCCCGGACATACATACATACAAAAATTCTAAAAACTATATTTTTGGCTTCGGTATTAATTGTAGATCACACTCCAAGTATTCTTTAAAATAAATGTACACATTTGACTCTTCTACAATTTTATTATATGTATAGATAAAGTTAAAGCATGATGACCTCTGAAACTGTTTTGATTCCAAAACTAAATACATAACATACAGGATGCTGTGATTGCTCTTTTCTATTATTTTTGACGACCTCCGTGGCCGAGTGGTTTGTACGCCGGGTGTCACGCACGGTGTCGGCTACTCGAGAGGTCCCGGGTTCGAATCCCGGTGGGGGCAGATGTTTGCGTGATGAATACGAACATTTGTACAGTCATGGATGTTCAATATGTATTTCTATATAAATACACTTATGTATATGTATCAGTATATGTATTTTATCCGTTACCCTAGTATCGCATAAAACAAGCCTACAGTGCTTACTTTGGGGCTAGGCTAATTGGTGTGAGTGTTGGATATATTTAGATTTGTCATAATTCGGCGGCCATGCTTACAGTGGTGTCAGAAGATTAATATATTTATTTCTTTTCATAAACCATATTTTGTTACAAAACGTCTTCACTCCACACTTCACGACCTTGTATGTCGCATGTACCGTTTCTCTTTATGCAAATAATGTAAAATGCCTCGAAATTACCCACGTCGTGTGTTTTTCGAAAATGTATGCATAGCTAGCTCTAAGAACGTAATAGGCGCGTGCGACATAAAACATTTATGATGCAAGTATACAATACTTGCATCGAACTTGTTGAATTAACAAAATATGTGAAGAAAATGAGTGTTTAATACTTACTTGTCAAGATACTACTATATGCAGTGTAAACGAAAAAATGTTTTAAACAACCACAACAAGTACTCTACTTCCCTTATTAATAAACGAAGAATAAGCTTGGATGAGTTACTCCATGTTTTGTCTCTGTTCATTGAATGACAAATGGCATTTGAGTGGTATGAACAAAAGACGGCGTAACTACTCGAAGCTCATTCCTCGTTTATTAATAAGATTAAGGGTATAAGTTTTGTATCTTTTGTTTTGTTTTCTTTATGGAAAGGAGGGGTAAACACTACCCGCCTACACAACGTAGATTACAAAACATTAAAAAACGTAGACTAAAGTTAAACCTGGACTAAAACTGATGCTATCACTTTTGTTTATTAAAAAGAGGACAGTTGTTTTTTCATTAGGTTTAAATCAATACTATAGGTAGACCGCTTAACTGAGTCCTTGCCTGCGGGGTAAAGGGTGTGGGGGAGGACGAAAACAGGGACCGTGAGAGGTCCCTCAGAATCTATGGCGTGCCAAGATTCGCTCAGGCACTTAAGATTGGCACTCACCCATTGTGTACGTTGTGATACAAATCGCAACGCTCATTGGAATAATAACCCATTAATTCGACATACAGACACAAGTTAGTTTTAACCACATATATATTATTCTATTTACATGAAAATATCGCAGTGGCGTCAAGGACATCTTACTTTTTAAACTAGACAGCATACAAAAAATATTACATGTTGTAATACATACATATATTGTAATCTTTTTTTTGCCTGGGGTTGTATTGTACGTCATTCAACGTTGACTTAAGAACTAATAGGTCAGTATTCCATTAAGCGTACGGAATCCTATTATCCTAGTCATATTATTAATGTGAAAGTTTGTATGTTTGTTACTCAATCACGCAAAAACGAATTTGGATGAAATTGGGCACTTACACTTAGTTCATTACCTGGATTGAAACATAGGATACTGTTTATCCAGAAAAAAATTTAGTATCCCACCGGGGTACTCAGAACTTATACACAGAATATTACTAAAATTTATAATATAGATACTAATTAGGTAAGTGTAAGTACAACCCACACCACAGATTAATGATGAAAGGAGAAGTATAATGGTCTTCTCTCTACTGAATAATAAAAAAAAACGCGATGAATCGGTACAGATACAAGCAAGATACCAAATTCCATCAACCCGTTCTATTAGATAATGTATCTACTGCCATAGTGTTTCTTATGATTAAAACTATCGTGGTGATATCAGGACATCATCAAGCGTAAACGTCAAGAGTTCGAGCGGACGTCGCGCGAGATAGAAGCGGAGGTGCGCCGCGCCGAGCTCCGAGAGACCGGCGAGGAGCCCACCACGCCCGTAGCTAATACCCCGGACAGACCCAGGAGATCACGTAAATATCACCAATCGTCTTCTTTTAATAAAAGTCACACAGTCACCACCAAAAGAAGGCAAATGTCGCGGTGTCGCAAGTCTACTGAGCAGTCGTTCATTATAAGACAGCTTTTGGACTACTACTAAATCTTTTATATTTATATTTATTTATTTCAAGTAACAAAGACTCATATTATACATAATACATTAATTAACTATTTATTATTATTGATTTAAAAAAATAAAATTATTTCTGAACAGTCACTAATAATCAAAATTGAATTGCAACAGTTAAAATACATAATATGTCAATAAAATTAAATAAAACTTATAAAACTAAAGAAACAACACAATGTCATTAAAGCGCTCTGCCATAGAGTGCAATGTGCAGTCTACAGCAGTGGTTAATATATGGGCAGTCAAGCCTGTCTCCTAGCACATCTAGCATGCTATTGGCACTCCCACGCGCAAGCGCCCCGCTTGCGCATTATAGCATAAAAACAATCTGTGCGAGCTTCCGCAAACATTATCGAGGCGCTACAAAAACGTGGGAGCCCCATCAACATTCTAAACGCGTTGTTGAACTGAACTCGAAGGGCGTCATACGATTTCATAGTGTAATTAGTCCAGAGGCTGCATGTGTAAAAAGAAGAGCAAAACGCCTTAAAAAGAGTTACTTTAACGTCAGTGGAACACCTCGCAAATCTGCGAATTACCATGTTCGCCCTGACAGCTAGCGCCCTTCGTTCCCGCTCAATGTCCGCATCGTCCTGCAAGGTGGGAGTGACTAGATGACCCAGATACTTAAATTCCTCTACTCTAGCCAACGGGGACCCATTCAGCAATAGTGATGGTACTTCAGTCACTTTCTTAGAACTACTATGAAATACCATAAGTTTACTCTTCCCACAATTATATATCAGTCCATCCATGTTCGGCCGCATAGCCTTCACAAATTTGTAGTAATTTCCTTAGCCCACAGACCGAGGCGCTCAGCAGCACCATGTCGTCCGCGTAGCTAATGTTATTAAAACATACGCCGTCAATGAAACAACCGACATGCCGCTCACTGAGCTCCTCTATCAGTCCATTGATATATAGGTTAAAAATAGAGGGAGAGCTGAGTCCCCCCTGCCTTACACCACATTCCAATCTATACGAGTCCGATAGCGTGCCCGCCCATTTCACGTTATTTAACTGATTTCCGTACCAATATTTAAATATGTTTATAAGTTCATCTGGTATATTTGACTGTTTCATTTTGTTCCATAAGATGTCATATGATACGAGGTCAAAGGCTCTTGAAAGGTGGAGGAAACAAGCGTACCCAGGCGTTTTTCTTTTAGTATAATACTCGGCAGCACTCTTCAAACACAATATCACGCTTTCAGTGGACAGTTCCGGTCTAAAACCAAACTGTTTGTCACTTAACTTAATAAATCTGTTTAATTGTGTATTAAGAATGCTGTCGAATACTTTTGCAACTATTGTCGCCAGCGAAATCGGTCGATAATTAGATATATCTGTCAGACTTCCAGCTTTGTTTTTTACCACTGGCACCACCACCGCCCTCATCATGTCAGTGGGCAAGTACGCATGAGATATGCAGAAATTGTAAAACATAGCTAACACCCTAGTTATATGTGGCCCAGCGTACAATATATGTTCCACATTTAAGCCGTCATGGCCAGGAGATTTGCCTTTAGAAATAGATTTTACGGCTATCAACACTTCATTGAAAGTAGCCAGGAGATCACGTAAATATCACCAGCCATCGTTCTTTTAAACGACATTGAAAGTAGCCAGGAGATCACGTAAATATCACCAGCCATCGTTCTTTTAAACAACATTGATAGTAGCCAGGAGATCACGTAGATATCACCAGCCATCGTTCTTTTAAACGACATTGAAAGTAGTCAGGAGATCACTTAAATATCACCAGCCATCGTTCTTTTAAACGATATTGAAAGTAGCCAGGAGATCACGTAAATATCACCAGCCATCGTTCTTTTAAACGACCTTGAAAGTAGCCAGGAGATCACGTAAATATCACCAGCCATCGTTCTTTTAAACGACATTGAAAGTAGCCAAGAGATCACGTAAATATCACCAGCTATCATTCTTTTAAACGACATTGAAAGTAGCCAAGAGATCACGTAAATATCACCAGCTATCATTCTTTTAAACAAAATGGAGGAGACGTCGTCATCATCATCAGCTTATCAATGTCCCCACTGCTGGGGCACAGGCCTTACCTATGGATGGAATATTAATATTGGGCCATGACCCACCACCCGGGCCCAGTGCGCTTTGGCAGGTGCTAACGACTGCAGATGCAGCCAGGACCAACGGCTTAACGTGCCTTCCGAAGCACGGAGAAACTCGAGATAGAAGATTTTTGGTCAACCATCCAATGACTGACCACTGTGAAAGTTGCTTAACTGCAACGATCGCAGCCGAACGCGCTAACCACCTGCGCCATCGAGCTCCTCAGGAGATCACCAATGATCTTCTTTTAAACTAAATAGCAAGTAGCCATTACCCTGGACAGACCCAGGAGATCACGTAAATATCACCTGCCATCGTTTTTAAACAACACAGCAATTAGCCAGGTGCCAGCTTGAGAGTAAATGACATTAGTTTAGTTAATTCTTAGAAGATGTTGTCCTTAAAGATGATTGTCTAATATTGATATATAAAAAGTTCTTCTGATCATCTAAAGGTCATATAGAAACTATGTAACCGCCTAACTAAAATGCAGTCTAGTATAAAGTTTTTAAACATTGCCTACCTTCGCTTTTTTGGCAACAAATATAAACTTTATTTGATATCGTAGTTCCTGGGTAATTTATTTTTAGCTACTTGCTTGTCGAAGAATACCATTTTCAATTCACCTGTCCAAACTTAGCACACCTGTAGCCTTGTTTAGAGAAACGTACGTAAGCAACCCTATGTTTGTATATCCTAAAAAAATATCCAACTTTCGATTAGGTAGTTTTTTAGGGTTCCGTAGCTCTGACAAGGAACCCTTACAGTTTCCGACAAAATGATAAAACAAAATTTGGAAAAATATGTTTTTTAGGGTAGCTCCTTCCTTACATGTAACCTGGGATTTTTTTTTTCATCATCTACCCCATCGTGTGGGATCTTATTCAATAGGTCATTTAAAATTACTTAGGAGTTTCTTAGACTATTTTTCGACTTAGGGATCCGTTTGCGTTAAAGAAATTTCTTACCTATTGAAAATTACTTAGAAGTAAATATTAATAGTGATGTAGCGATGAAGTAATTGTAGCGTAAAACCTTGCATTGCAACAAAATAAAAAATAAAACTATTTAAAAACCACAATAAAATATTATTAGTTTCACAACGCTACCACGAGTACCAACGACAACGGCTTCTGAGTCGCGCTAACGTTACGTTTTTATGAAAAGTATATAAGCAATTGAAAATTATCGGCGGTTATACCGTATTAAACATACATAGAGATATAATATATAAGCATAAGCTCTTAATTCTTCAAACTAAGTCGACAGTCAGATCCGGGCTAATAAAAGGCAAAAAAGATGAAGCTTGTGTGTTAACTGTGTACAGTACTGTCAAGCGTGACCTGGCATATAATTTCTTACCCCAACCACAGACCTGGATTTAAGTAGCACGTGCACACACGTGCTTTAACCTGTAAGAAAACCGAGCGTGTCATATTTTGAAAACACATTGGGTTGCGGAAAATCATGGACCCCGGCCAACCATTTCGATCTATAATTTTTACAACTTAATTTGGCACAATTAGTTTTTTTTTTTGTTTATTTACTATATTGGCGTCCAACGGTAACGTGAAGAAATAAAATAGTGTTAAAGGAGGACGGACATTTAGTCACACTTTTGACATGTCTTAGGGAAACGAAGAACGAAGAAAAAAAGGACTCGAAATATATACACTTGCGGTATCTATTTCGATATATGTAGGTGCATCGAACCTATTACTGAGACGATTCGTAATGACTATCGGAGTCAACTGAAGAGATGACTCAGCAGAATTCCAATAAATATTATCGATATCATCTGAAATGTGAATTTATAAAATCTGCAACATCCTGCTGTATTCATTTTGTTTTCTACCAATACCGATATTACAAAATTCTTCCGGTATTCCATGCTCTACTTGCATTGCAGTCCGCCGTGCAAGACTCAATACGCATCCTGCTTGGTGTAGCCCAACGCCATGCCATTCACAATCCTGCATATAGCGACGGAGTACCGTGAATGGGCCGCTTAAGATAACTTATTTCTTTCTTATGAGGAAATATTAACACCCGTCTTTTAGTTATTTCGGTATGTTCGCTTCTCAGCTACGCTGCTAAAGCTGACATATTTTGACAATTTGATCATGTAAACTTTTTAAACTACAACAACCTGCGTCATTATCATTAGCGTTATGTTAGTAACAAAGTACTGCCAAGGACCCATTGACGGTTAAATTTGACATTATTAACTCTTTTATTTAACATAGCAATAAGAGCGATATTAGTAAAGCAAGTATACCTTTACCGTCTTTGACTGTACAAAGAATTTTCTCAACACTTATACGGTGTCTGGGTCAAATTTACAACCTTTCACAAAATACATTCTATTGTTTAACATAAATCTGTTAGTTGATGTCTCCCCCATTGAAACTTTGAATATTGTTGATGAAGACAGAATACTATGATAATTTTATGTGCTGCTAGTGCTGCTATGAAAACCGAACATTTGATGTTAATCTTGCATTAAAATTCTATACTTACTTTACATATTGAAAAACGGCTCGTGTGCTTCACAAAAGATGTTTGTATAGCTGTTTTTGCAAATTGTTTTTTGTTGATTTTACTGTCGTTATTCGGATCGATCAATACTAATTTAAATGACAATAAACACAACAGTTTGGCAGAAAGCAAATAATATACTTGGTTAAAAATTTGTACTAAATTGTTACAGAAAGTTCAGCCACCCCACCGCCCTTGGATAGCGATACTCCCGAAAAGCCACCCGAACGTCGTTTATCGCGAGATAAAAAAGGAAATCACAAATCTAATGACAAAATTGATGGTGCTAGAAAATTAGAAGTCATCCCGGAAGAGAAACCAAAGAAATCAAGTAAAAGAGATTATACACCTAGTCCTCAAAAAAGCAGTACCAAAACCAACAACAAACACAGTTCCAGTTCTAGTGATTCAGAGGCGGATTCTTCCTCCAGTTCGAGTGACTCGTCATCAGATAGTGAATCTGGTCAAAAAGTAGATTCGAAACAAGTGAAAAAACGCAAACGCCGAAGCTCCAGTTCTAGTGTATCACACAAAAAAGCGAAGAAAGAAAAATACAAGAGTAAATCGTATAAAACAGAAGACAAATATTCAAAATCAAAACATTATGATGAAAGTGAGAGATCGGAAAAATCAAGAAGAAAAGATGACTCTTATAGCAGACACAAGTCTTCTAGAAGTAAAGATTACGACAGGTCGCATAAAGATAAATATAGGGACGATTCGGAGGAGGAACGACCTAGGAAACGTACTAAACGTTCTCGTTCGGCGAGTTACGAATCGAAATCGGGGCGCAGAAGGTTATCAAGGGATCGGTCCGAGGAGCATTCGCGTCGTCGTGATAGAAGGTCATACGATAGGGAAACCTCGAAGCGGGATAGGTCTTACGACCGATCCGGCCGCGACTACGACAAGCATGATAGGTATGAGCGGTCTAGGGACTACGACCGGCGGCGCTCGCGCAGTGGCAGCCACTCACGCTACAGACGGTGAACATCAGGTTACAAATATAGCAGGTTGTATTTTTAGTTTACTTTTGTCATTAAACTTGAATCTTCCAAGTAGTGAAACGGTATTTCAAAACATAAAATTTGAGATAACTGCTAACTATAACATGATGATGAGCAATATTACTATTTGATATCTCCCTCTATTATAAATGTTAACTAATTCTAATCAATTTATTTTAATCTAGTCCTTGTCCTTAATTAATAAAAGTTTTGCAATCACCCTTCAACAAGTATTACAAACTGTGATAAATTTTAATGTTAACACAAATAATCTATGTTTGTTATTTATGACATTGTGAGTGAAGTAACTTAGTAAATGCAAATCTTATTCAACTAGTTTTTCAATTAGGTGTGACTCATGAAGGATAGGTTCAAATGGCAACTATTAAAGGTTGTGTGATATATTTTATATTTTTATTCTCTTTCAGGTGGGGCATTGGCTTCAGGTGTATATAATTTTAGTATTTATGTATAGTATTCTAATTATGCTTAAGCATCCTTACATTATTCCAATAAATTTTAATGAATTTGATAAAATTTGTTTGATTTTGACTTTATCCACAAAGTGAAACAAACAACAGACTGTTTGTTGAGTACTTTTATTTACTTATAAATTACATAATGTAGGGATTTCCGGTATTGGCTTTAAAAAATAAGCACCATATATTTTTTATTATTGATAAATATTTTTCTGCAATGACTCAGAAAAAAATGAATCCAATGATGAAGGAAGAATAATATTTTAATCACAGTTTAGGCATATTCCATCTAATCAAACCAACCTAAGTGTACAGTCAAATAATGATTCATGCTATTCGAATTAATATAAAGGCAAACCAATCTACTACATAGCTTCAAATCTTTACACTAAATAATTATTTTTCTTCATTAACATAATCAAAAGTTGGAGGATTGTTCTGAATAGATGAAATAAAATGAAATGCAAGTTTTATTTTGATATTATTACTTGCCAACAATTTAATATGTTACAAATTTATTATTTGTATTGATACTGCCATAGTAACTACAAAGATTATTAACTAATCTCTCAATAAATAAAATATCCCATTTTTTCATACTCCAATTACACTTAGGCCCTAATATTTGCAACAATACATAATTAAATGCCTACTTTCCAAACCTTTGATCACATTTGTTATACTTATACAGAGCACCTACATAACATTCAATATTTATACATTGATCTAAGGAAAGTTGAACAAACTCGGAGAGTCTTATTTGCCATGGTAATAAACCATGTGTACAACATAAAGACCCTGTGTACATAATCAAATCTGGATCAGGAATTGATGGGTAAAATCTTCTTATAGTCTCGTCTAATTCTTGTGCAGTAAATTCATTTCCTTCTCTTTTACAGTCCACCTCATTTGAAGCAATCTTGCGTATGCACTCTGCCAACTTTGGTCTACCATCAGAATTTGCGAAAATGTTTATAGTAATAGTATGGGCTTGAATTCCATTTGTATAACCATTTAAATTAGGCCTGTTAGACCATTTTATGCAGCCCGGCACACCTTTTTTACATTTTTCTACTTCCACAAATAACTTGGATTCGCTTTGTTTAAGTTCACCTGAAAGTAAGGAGTAAAATTTAATAACACCATCATGAATTCATTTATGTTTACCAGAATTACATCATCTCTATGATTCATTTTCAAGTCAATTTTCATTATCTTCCTAAAAAGTTGCTATCAATTGCCTTATATTTTATGTGGCCTATTGCAAAATTAAGTTGCATTGTGATTCCAACTAAGAATTTTCAAAGTATTTCTATTATTTATCATAAAGTTATTGGCTCATACATTCTGTTCATTTCTAGTTAGATTTTCTTTTTGCAACACGAAGATCTGTTCAGATAACAATGACCTTTTGCAAGGAGGCTAAATGATTTATTCGTTGCAGTAAAATGACCAATCCATAAAAAACCAAAAGAAATACTTTACCTGTAACATCATAGAAACTGATGTACGGAACCCCTGCCACAAGACTCCAGATCACCACTAAAGCAAGATCCTTCAACGAATGTTGACTCGTGTCTGTTAAAAGTACCAAGTGTTTCGGCTTTTTGCTTATATTAGGAATATGCTTTATTAACACTCCAATATCAGTTTTTGCCTCCTGCTCACTGAATAATCCACAGTAATAAGTCCAAAAACAATGATAAACATTCTGAACAGCAACAAGTAAAGACACTACTAAATGTACAATAGAAAATAAACACTGCCTAAGCAGCCTTGACAGCATATTCAAGGCTAAATGATGTTAACTTTTATTAAATAAAATTTATAGATTATTTCATTTTAAAATGCATTTTTTGCAAAAGGATGGTTGAGCGGATCGGATCGGACATCACACGGTACAGTCGGCGAGTCAGCCGCTTTTTCTGAACGGCCAATCAAAAACTTGAGGGTGGATTACAGTTACGCCAACATGAAGAAATATTAGTTTGCGTTCGCATTTTCAAAATTTAAAACCATAGAGAAAAAGTTATGACCTTAATATATGAACGGAACTAAAGTGGCTTCCACACGATACAATTTTACGTCCAATTTGATTAGATTGACAATCGAATTGTGTTGTGTGGACGGAAATATGAAAATGAAGGTCATTGGATGGTCGGTATTGCCCGATTCGGGATTGCCCAATCAAATTGGATGGTGTGGACGCTAACTGGCCAATAGAGGTGGGTAATATAGCTTTTTGTCTGAATCAAATCGAAACTATATATCGATATTCGATATCGGATTCTGAAACTATATATTTTGATATCGGTGATATCGCTGTCGACCATATCAATCATATATCATTACAGGATAACAATGGAATGGAAAACTATATTTTCCTGGTACTGATACATAACCGTTATGTGAGTTTTAGATACATCAACATCAGGTAGGACTAGGAGTTAGATAGTGCAGTATTTATCCATGTATTTAAGGGATTAATTAAGTTGATTTCTGTTTTTTTACAGGAATATTTGTTAAAAATATAGATAATAAACTAAACATAAAAAACCGGAAGATAAATAATACACCAACAATACAAAATAATACGCTAATGCAATTTAATTGAACGTGTTTGGACGTTCGAATCTACGAAATGATAAAAATTCAAATCCGCACCAAATTTCTTTTGCTAGGGTTCAAGGATAGAGGTCAACGAGAGTAGAAATTAAATTGTGTCAAAGCTCACCATTATTCCTTAAGAAATATGGTTAACGATTTAATCAACAAAAATATTAAAAGTGTATAAACTATTTTATTACGATGAAAATAAAGTGAAAAATTGCAGTATGCGTTGCATCGTAACTATTGCTGTTTCACTCTCATATCATCATACGCTCTCCCTCTACTCCCACTTGGCGTTGGTCGCGCTCATATTCCATTGTGATACGGTTCAATATACTTTAAACAGTCTATATACGATACAGTACTGTCAACGCGTATCGCATTCCCAATGCAATATAATGTTTTGCCAAAATATATAGTTTCAGAACGCATTGATATCGGATTTGACGATATTGATGCAATATACGTTTCAATATCTATATACGATTTGTATCGCCCACTCCTACTGGCCAATTTTTTAACGTAGTCACTGTGCAAGCGGCGTTCAGAGCGGGTGTGTCCGTTGACTTGTCTTTTGAGAAGAAGATGGAGCAACATGACGACAATATTATGTCTATTCGATCTGAACGGGAAGTAATGGAGGAGATTTTAGATATATGTAAAGACTTGCCATGCCTTTGGGATGTGTCTAACCCATTATATAAAAATAAACAAGCAAGGCATAATTCCTTAGAGATTTTGCGGAATAAGTGGAAAAATATTGATAAAAATATTAATGTTATAATTTTTATTATTTTTAAAGCATGTAACAGCTTGATGTTTAAATCTAAAGAAAATATAACTAGAAAAAAAACCACGCGGACCAGGCAGTTATTTGTTATTGAAAATAAAAAATCATTTAATTAAATTTATATTCTACTCAATGATATGTGCGCATACTGGGGTAAAAAAGAAATAATATTATATATATTTTTTTATAATTTTTATTTTTTAAGCATGTAATTGCATGATGTTTAAATCTAATGAAAATATAACTAGAAAAAAATCCACGCGGACGAGACAGCAGACGAGACTCGAACCCGCACCCTTCGCAATCCAGGCGAATGCACTGACCGATTATGCTACCGCGGCCCTCACGGACCGCGTCGAAATTCTTCCAGCCATTCTTAAGTTGCAAGGCAGCGCCATCTCTTCGCATTATAGGTAACCCACAATGTCAAATGAATACTTTTACAAGTATTTAACATTTGAAAGAAGAAATAGCAATTATAGTTATAATTTTTATTATTTTTAAAGCATGTAACTGCTTGATGTTTAAATCTAAAGAAAATATAACTCACTTATATTTTAAAGGGTTTTCGAAGGGTGCGGGTTCGAGTCCCGTCTGCTGTCTGGTCCGCGTGGATTTTTTTCTAGTTATATTTTCTTTAAAAACTCTCTAAGTATAACTATATTTAAGTTTATTAATTGAGTCACTTAAATATAATATAACTACATTTAAGTGTCTCAATTGCTTTCTTTTTAATAACCATTGTTTTGTCCACAGTCTTCTTTTTTTCTCATCTACATTTGTAGTTGAGCCAAGATTAATCCAATTTTTTGTTTCTTGGTAAAAGGCAAGACAAACAAGTCCGTTCAGCAGAGGCAACAAATAAAACTGAAATTGGCGATCTTGTTGTGTATGTGTAGACGGACGACCAGATTGTACCCAATTCAATCGTCAATCAGATTGGCAATCAAATTGTGTCGTGTGGAAGGGGTTTAAGGTGTAAATAGATTCTGCCATGATTCTCTTAACTTAAAATTAATCTGATAATAGTCACTCCTTTTATTCAGTAAATAGCATGTCAAGGATACACTCTGGTGTCCATTATGGCTCGATTCTCTTAACCTAAAATTATATTTCGCAACAGTGTATTATTGTCATTCTCTATATAGAATCAAAAGAGAGACTGATGTTAAATTTAATTTTAGGTGTAGAGAATCATGCCAGGATCGACAGCACTATTGCGAAATTAAATTTTAGGTTCAAGGAATGATGCCAGAATCGGGTCCAGTGCAGTATATAGTTGTTCTCACTTTCTTTTTTTTTGTCACGTTCTTACAACATAGTTTGTCTATAAAGTTGTGACATTAAATGATGGCGCCACTAGTATGCATGTAGCAACCCGTACAGTCTGACCAAAATGATTTTGATATTAGCAGTTCATTCAAGTAAAATAGGTAATTAATAAGACACACTATACAGTCATATTTTGTTTCTGTTTTATATACAGGACGTCCCACGGCAACGTCACACGGAGGGAAAGTATATTAAATATTGAAGATAGGATATTTTACTGAAAGAAGACATCATTTTATTTTTTATAATAAAGAAAACTGCATTCACGGTTTTTTTTTAAATCGCCTGTTACAACTGGGAATCAAACTCGTGAAATTTCGAAAAAAAAAACACGACATATTTTATGATAACCATCGAAAGGGTTAATTATAAGCATCATTTTAAATGCTATGTAATAAACTTCTTCTTTCAATAAAATATCCTATCTTCAATATTTAATATACTTTCCCTCCGTGTGAGGTTGCCGTGGGACGCCCTGTATAGTAGGTACCTATGCTTATAAAAAGTTTAGCCAAGCATATTTAATTGAATCAGAATAAAATTATTATAGATAAAATAGTACTTTATAGTGTAAAAGTGTGTAATGTTGGGGATTACCGCTGAGGTGCCATTGAGACCAGAGCCGTTAGGTAATCATCAATACACGCAAGTATCATCATACGACGTTTTTTAACACACTTGTTAAGAAAACAATACTAAAAATCATTTTATAGTAGGTATATAAAAAGTTTATTTACAGAAACAATTTGTAAATGTGTAGTTAGTAAAATTAGTGATAGGTATCTTCACTAAAAGCATCTGGCCATGGTTCTTTATATGACCATTTCTTTCTTTGGTCGGCCTTGCCTGTTTTCCCAGGAGTTTCAAACTTTCCATCATTCTTAAAACCTTCGTTGACTACCCGACTCTGATTTTCCTGAAAAAAAGTAAAAAAATATGTAACGGAATAGAAAAAATAACTTATTGACATGAAGCAATTAATTCAAAATTCGTAGAAAACCTGACCGTGTTGAACCATAATAACGTATCAAAAGAAATGGTCGTACTACAATATTACCTATTTATAATGTCAATCTAACCTAAAAATGTGCAATGTAAACAATGCCTTTTTGGTCTCAAAATCGTAAGATTACAAACAAATAGTTAAACGATTACATACCCGTCATAGATGCTGTTCGCCCATAAACATCATCCAAATCCCACAAAATTCGTCCAGCTTGGTAGTCTTCGAAACATCGCTGGAAAACTTTAAAAATCACTTCCCACGTGCCATTCCGATTTACTTTACTCATTTTTATACCTTTCTGCGTTTTGCGAGTTTCGTCTTAATTTATTACAGTTAAATTCAAACAATAAAAAATACAAAAGGAAAACTGTTCCACAAAACTGAAACTCGATGACAGCTGATGTACATAAGTTTGGTGTTGCCAGACACATGAATAATGTTAGTTCCTCAAAGATTCATGTCACGACTTTATAGACAAACTGTACCTGCCTATAAATGTATGTAGAGATAAATATATTAGTTGAATGTTTAATTTTGTCGATTCTGGCATGATACTATAAACTTAAAACTACATTTAACATCAGACTCTCCTTTTCATTCTGTATAAAGAATGCAAGGACAAGGAAAGGAGTATCCAATATTATCGGAAAGCTACCATCTAAAACTTACGTAGCGTGGTCGCAGTTTGTCTCCCTCTCACCTTGACATTCGTTGGATGCGCACCATTCCCTGATTTGATTTTGAAAATGATTTCTTCATACTTTTAAAAATGGTAAATTTTGGTGTGTTACAACAAACACATCTCATTAAATATCTTCAAATACTCAAAAATACTACATATATATAGATATATGACTTATATTGTGGGAAGGTTATTATGTAATATATAAAATTATTCTTGTATTTTTTCCAAATAATTTGCTCAATACATCATCATCATCAACCTTTTAATATCCCCACTGCTGGGGCATAGCACAGGCCCATTACCGACCATTGCGAAAGTTGTTTAAACTCGACGATCGCAAGTTGAACGCGCCACCCACCTGCGCTATCGATGTCAGTACGTACGTACGTATCAATGTGTAAACGTATTGCTGATAGATTCAGTTTTTTATCATTTGGATTAAGCGAGCGCTAGTGAAGCACTAATTGAAAGAATGGGATTGATCTTTGCCGAAAGCCTGAGTATTATACTGAGTGTTTCCTAATTTATCACACATGATAAAATTATTAACTTTTTAAACCATCAAGGAAAACATTATCAGTAAAACAAATAACCTCAATTCACTGAAATCAATGAATAGATAAGCTTGGAGATAAGCTTGTGTCAGTTATGCAGTGTTTTGTGACAAAATACTTCGTTTGCTATTAATTAAGGGGGTAAAACGAATTAAATGCAGTCAGATATAAGCAAGCAAAGGAAGCAAAATCAGTTAGAAAGATTTTTGCACAGCAATACAATTAAAAAAAAATTTTGAATATTGTGTATAAAGATCACAAGTAGACTATAAACTTTCTGATAGATATTCTTCTAAATGAAACTTTTTGATTTCATTTAATTTTTGTTCATTCATCAAAAACTGTTTATTTAAATATCGTTCATTCCTTTTAAGTCCCATCTCTAACTTTTGTGTTTGTATACGTTCGAACAATTGCATAATTACATAAAAAAATGTTAGCGTGTGTCCGTTTTTTTATTTGTGTGGCGTGATTTTTGAAGTGTGTGTTTTAGCAACAACACGCCCGTATTAGCGTGAGTATTGTATATTTTCGGTAGTGTGCCATACGTGTGTGTAGCTCGTCTCCTGCTAAAAATGGCGATAAATTTAGTTCGGCCAGTGAACAGTTTGTCATCTCCATTGGTATTGCTCTGACTAAGGTTTTAATGAATAACATAAAAAGGAAAATTTTAAACCGAAGCTGTATGTGCATAGTTGGCTTTGCCATCCACTAGTAGGCAAAAAAATATAGTTCTGACTGTATCCGTTTCCTATCCGCCATCCCTTTTCTCTTGTCAAAGTGGTAGATAAGGTTAGTAAAATTCGGATTACGTCGATTTTTTTTAAAGTTTTGGTGTAATTTCATATGCGATAGCCTTTCCTAAATCAGCATTATCTGAAAATTTTATTGGGGTCTATATTTCACGTTATAAGTTTGTGTTCAGCAGGAAAAATGTGATTGTTATTGGTGCTTTTGTGTAGTTTAGACCACGCTGCAACCTGTGCTGTTTCTTCTTACAGAATCCTCAAAATGCAGCTGCACGTCAGAGGTCAATCGACACACGTCTTGGATGTCAATGGCGAGGAGTCCATTGGACAAATCAAGGTAGGGACGTAAGAAACGTCCAAATATCTTCAGCGGTTATGGAGATAACCGCTGGTATGCCTACGTACTTTTATTTTACAGAATGTTAATTCAAGACCAATCCAATAACAATACCTGTAATATGTATTACCATTACGTCTTTTTGTTTCATCAAATATTACATGCACAAGCCTGTAACCAGACTAAATATGTTACCTATGTTTTAGGTTATACTGGTGCATTTATCTCATAGCTCAAGAGTTTTATATGATTTTAGGACCGCATCAGAGCTTTGGCTGAGGTTGGAGCTGAAGATTTAACACTGTCAGTGAATGGTGCTCCCCTTGAGGACTCATGCCTGGTTTCTGAGCTGTCCTCAACTGAGTTGGACCTCACAGTGCCATTGCTCGGTGGTAAAGTACACGGCTCCCTAGCTCGTGCTGGTAAGTTTTGATATCTTTAGTAATTTCACATGGAAGTTAAACATTTAATTTTCCGACGACCTCCGTGGCCGAGTGGTTTATACGCCGGGTTTCATGGTGTCGCCGACTCGAGAGTTCGAATCCTGGTGGGGGCAGATGTTTGTGTGATGATTACGAGCATTTGTACTCCAGTCATGGATGTTTAATATCTATTTCTATATAAATATACTTATATATGTACAGTATATGTATTCTATCCGTTACCCTAGCATCCCATAACACAAGCCTTATAGTGCTTACTTTGGGGCTAGGCTAATTGGTGTGAATGTTGAAAATATTTATTATTTATTTATTATTTTATTACTACATACACATGCAGTACTGCATGGAATGCAATCTCTATTAGAGGAACAAAATGCATTTAATTCAAAATAGAATAATGTCACTAATAAAATACAAACACACTTTGTATTTAATCCAATGTATTTTTCTTTTTCATATTCTTTTTACTCTACAATTAGTTTTGAAATGATTTCATAAATAAAAATAATTTGTATGTGTTTTGCCTTTAACTATGCAATGTTTTTATTAACTGCTACTAAAACACACCTTCCAGAGTAGATTCTGTATATAGTAGTAGTATATCAAATGTATTGTAATTTATTAGAGGAATTGTATGTATTTCTTTGGAACGTTGTTTTTTGGAGGTCCAAATGCAACTGATGTGAACTAAATGTGGTAAAACTATACTTTCTGGGCACAGGAGGTGACACTTTACAATTTATTGTTGAAAAGATCTACCAATGAAGTATTTTTCAGGCATGCTCAGTTCATGGTTTGACCTAGTGTGAAGTGATACTTCTTAGGCCTAGAAAGTACAGTTTAAGCGTAATTTATTTACTATAAGCTGTGCCCTGTGGTTTATTAGGAATATATTCCCGCAGTAAAACAGCCTATGTGTTAATCCAGGGTGTCAGCTATCTCCATACCAAATTTTATTAAAATTGCTCCAACTGTTTAGCATGAATAAGTAACAAACATACACAGTCACAATCTTTCGCTTTTGTAATATTAGGTGTCTGTACTTTAATTCATAGTAATACAATTTAATATTTTTTTTAGGTAAGGTCAAAGGTCAAACCCCAAAAGTTGAAAAACAGCAAAAGAAAAAGAAGAAGACTGGTCGTGCCAAGCGCAGGATCCAATACAACAGAAGGTGGGCATATTTTGTTTGTTAAACATTAATAAATTGGCAACATTGATACATCTTTAGGTTTTTTTATGTTAAATCATTGTGACAGATATAGAATAAGAAAAGGCCTAAATATTGGATTTAATTGTATGTGTGTAAGAGGGGGGCCTATAAAGATTTCAACAAATTTAAACACCAAACATATTATAGGTACATAAGTGAAATACAGCTCACCTATAATTCAATAAATAAATAAATCATCTTCTAATTATTTCTTTGAACTTAAATTATTGATTCAGTTTTTAATGTGTGTCTGATTGTCTTTGTAAATACAAAATTTGTAATATGTGTATTTATTAACTATAAATGTATCATTATTTGTATCTAATTATTTTACAGATTCGTCAATGTTGTCCAGACCTTCGGCCGTCGCCGTGGACCCAACTCCAATTCATAGGTTACTTTTGTTGTAAATAATATGCAAATATAACATCTTTTTTGCTCCATTTGATTGTTTTAATTAAAGAGTTGCCTTCCATATCCAAATAAATCATTAAAAGAAATACCGACTCATGAAAAGTTGTATTTCTATCGGATAAAATCTAGTTGGATAGGGAATAATTTGTTGAGTTATCCTGGCTAGTTAACAACTCACGGCATGCTTCAGTGCTGTCATCTACCGCTCCATTTCAGGAAATCCAGTGAAGCCACTCAGTGGGTACAGGCAGTGTACTCACAACACAGAAACCCTTTTCTATGTTCTGCGAGTGCACTGCATATAGAGCAACACGGCCGATGCACTCTATGGCAGTGCATAATAGAGATGAGATAAAGCTCTAATAAATTATATATCTGTTAGGCGATTCTCACGTAAGAAGTGCGTGATCTTACGTTGATTGAAATATCTCTGAACGCGCGTGGGGCAACACCCAACTCCCGCGCAGTGTTGCAGATCATACGCCTATATGCAGAGAAATGCGAGTTTGTATGGCGAAGTATGCACCATGATGCAGATATGCGTTCCGCAGCGTAGTGCGGAGCTGTAAGCTGTTTGAGAATCGCCTTAATAAATTATTAATTTTCCTGTGGTTATGGGATGCCAACAGCGCCATTATCAGCACTATTGGCGTATAATAAAACTAAAAGCAATCTGATCGTATGTACTTAAGTAGTTGTAACTGGCGTGTACAAATAAGTTCTGCTATTCTTCACGAGATGGCAGTAGTGTCAACGTAAGCGCGAGTTTCGTTGTATTTTTAAGAAGACATTACTGCAAATCATTTCAAAGGGCATGTTTTAAATGTGTCCGTGATGGTAGCGTACCCACGATCAATATACGGTTTTTCGTTATGCCATTAATTACTGCGTAAATAGTGCCAAATTAGAGTAAAAATAAAAAAAATGGTGCCACTTTAATGAATAGGTACTTTTTATAAAAATATATTTTATTTCAATTCGACTTCACCAATCATAAATTCATATAAGGATTTCAACCTACCTACTAAGTACCTTACTTACCTACGAAAATATTATCACTTCTGTACATGACTGTACTTCATATATATAAAATATTTAATTGCTTTTTTTATATTGTTTTACTGCGAATTAACATAAAATACTTTTACTGTTAGAGGTACTATTTGACACAGTATTTATACATATAGAATGGATAACGAGAAAAGTTCATTTTCTATGAGAACTATTATGGGTACGCCAGGTTGACGCCAGCTAAGAATGTTTAGTTCAATATCTTTGGTCCTTTAAGAGTATTGATTATGAAATTTTGTAAAGCCAGGGCACTATTTGCGAACTATTTTTGTGTGTCAATTTCGTTGCTTAAATATATGCCGTTCTTGGGGTCGGCCATGGGTACGCTAGCTTGACGTCATGGTAGCGTACACAGTAAAAATGGTCTTTATTTCTTAAATTAAAGAGGCACTATTTTTTTTATTTTTACATTATTTTGGCACTATTTACGCAGTAATTAATGGCATAACGAATAACCATATATTGATCGTGGGTACGCTAGCATCACGGACACTTTTAAATGGATGCAGAAAAATCATATTTTTACCTTGTGCATGCGCAAGAGCAGTCACAAAATGAACTTGCTGTAGGTATTTAATGTACCTAGTTCACCGAGATGCAGTGGAATGGTTTCTAGAAATTAATCTTACTTTTGTAAGAACACCAAAAAAGTATAATTTCCCAACGTAAACAGAGGTTTTTTGGCTACAAATAGAATGGCCAGTAGACGAGTATAGTTAATACTTTTCATCCTTTCCTCGGCAGGACGAGCAAGGCGAAATACTCAAAAGAAGACGAACACTCATAGACGTTCTGTAAATTAGGTTTATGATCAAAATAATCTCAATTCATTGATTTTTTAACCGACTTCATACAGGAGGTATGAAATTTGTCAGCCAATTGTCAGCGTCAGCATGTGTATACAGAGTGAATTTTAGAACACCAACAACCTCTTAGGGGCCGATTCTACTTATCAACAGGAACAACTTTTATTATGGGACCAACGCTGAAATTGCAAAAGAAAATTTGCTGTTTCATACAAAAGCGCATCAGCTAAATCGACCGAAATGTATGAAATAGCTGATTTTTATTTCGCCATTTCAGAGTTCCCATAATAAAAGTTGTTCCTGTTGATGGGTAGAATCACGCCCTAAGAGGTTGTTAGTGTTTTAAAATTAACCCTGTATATTATATGAAAAAAATACTTAGGTAATGTATAGAATGCCAAAAGCATAGATGAATGATTGGTTTCGCTTGAAGGGAGACCAATCATTTATCTATGGCCAAAAGCGTCAAGGCAATATATGAAATTATTTATTCATTTATACTTTGCCTAGGTGTTCTATCTATACAATGCCGAATCCGCAGTCGGCAATTTGTGTTAGAGAAGATAGTGAGTCGACTTTTTCTTGTTTTATTTATCTAATGGTGTCCATTTCTCTAAACTTAAAACTAAATTTAACATCAGTCTCTCCTTTTCATTCTGTATATAGAATGACAAGGATACACTGTTATCTAAGTTTAGGTTTAGAGAATCATGTCGGAATCCACACCATTATCTAACAGGTGGCCGCTGCCGCGGCACGCTCGCTTTGCTCGCTCGGCTCGCAGTAACTTTAGGTCAGTGACCTAAGGTCACCACAACACTAACTTCTTAACCTTACTCACTGTGAGTTGGTCAAACGTTCATTGGTCTGTTATTCAATCGGTGAGAATTTTTAAAGCTGTCCGTCATTTTATATCTAACTGGGTAGACTAAGTTAGGTTTTGCAAAAATAAATACAGGACAAATCTGTTTATTTGACACATTGTCGGTAGGCCTAGAAGGTGCTCTATACAATCCCTAGGAATTGTATAAATAACCTAGGCAAACTATAAAATGGAAAATAATTGATAATATTTCATGCATTGCCTATACGCCCTAGCATGGCTGTAGCTAGAGTCGAATTTGAGGTAGGGCAGCATTGGTTACAAGTAGGGCGGAAGTAAAAAAAATATCATAATTGATCTGCCCTCGGAGCACGGGCCTCCTAAATCAATCGCCATGTATATTATTGACCTCTAGGTCAATGATGCACCTATTGCTACTATTTTTTTTATCTTAACCCATATACAAACAATTTAATTATAAAAAATTATCTTAGTTTTTGGTATTTTTAAGGTAGGGCATTGTGATTTCAAGGTAGGGCATTGCCCCACAATGCCCCACCCTAGCTACGGCCGTGCGCCCTAGGCATTCTATACATTGCCTAACCGACATATACACTGTGTATACGGCATCGGCGTACAAGTACATAAATTAAGTAAATTATAAAGTGATAAAAATTTTCAATTGGTATGGTAATTAATTTTCTAGGAACTTCCATTAAAAGAAACAAAAGTTAAGGTTTTTCCAAGCACTTTTTTTAAAAGATACATTTTACTCCGAATGTACTTTAAAACTTATTTTCAGAGATCTTTGGGGGCGTCCATTAATTACGTGAAATGTTTAAGGGGAGGAGGGGGTCGAGTCAAATCTCATCTAATCTTACGTTAGAGAGAGGGGGGGTCTCGGCAAATATCACGCAATTTTTTTTCACAGTAGTATCTATTAAGTATTCTATTGTTAAATTTTTATTACACTTATAACTCTCAACAATATTGATTACTAGTCTTAACCAGTCGTAAATAAAAGCACGAAGTATTTTTTTTTCTTTTTACAATAACAATCCAACGCGTTTACGAAAGAAACCCACATTTTGAAAAATCTCATGTGAGATTGGGGGTTGGGGGAGGGGGTTGAATAAAATCTCACGACATCTCACCAGGGGGGGAGGGAGGGACAGAAAATCCAAAAAAACACCTCACGTAATTTATGGACGCCCCCTTTATGAATTTTTCACTCTAGGTAAGTCGTAAAGTTGCTCAGAATTAGTCATTCTATTCATTCCACAGTAACTTTTTTTTTAATAAAAAAATCATCCCAGATAAGGGTGGCATCCACCCCTCGGGAAATAATGTGCGTGTGGACTGAGTGATCTTTATAGCAACCCTTGGCACATTATCAAATTTGCAGCAGAGAGTAAGTTAAACTTAAACTTTTTTTTGTGTAAATTGGTGCTGTTTGGCTGAATAGGTTTTCATCTCAGACCAGGGGGCCAATCGCCTAACGGAAATGCTTTGGAAAACGCTAACGCTTACGATTTTATTTTGTTATTTCTAGCCGCCTGAGGTATTCAAATACCTCGCGCTCTTTCTTTTTCTTTTACATTGGTAATAACAATATTCAAAAAAATGAGCGTGAGGTATTCGAAAACCTCAGGCGGCTAGAAATAACAATATAAAATCGTAAGCGTTAGCGTTTCCCAAAGCATTTCCGTTAGGCGATTGGCCCCCAGTTTTCATGTTTTTTACGTGCATTGACTGGACTACAACAGAACTTAATTCAAATAGTTTTCTATTTACCGACTTCAAAGAGGGTCTTCAGTAGGTATTTTTTAGAAAATGCAGGCCTATACTTATTTGTTGTTACTAATTTGTTCTGCTTTTAGAACGGTGAAAATAGAAACTTCTTTTTTAACAAAAAATTATAATGGACTTTATTGAACAAATCCACAAATTACACATTTAACAATTTCACCAGATGTTCACGACCAAGAGTAAATATAGAAAATAGTTGAATCATCTGTAGATCTGCCTACATTTTTAAGTTCTCTCAGTTTCACCACGATCTCATTATCAGGTCTTGACCTAATGGTTGTCCCTTTCAAATTAAAATAAAAAAGGATTTTTCGAATGGTTCCAGGTGTCTTCGATTCCAGTGAAGTATATAACATAAAACAACTTAAATAGCCCATGAAACAGAGATCGCGGTTATACTTGATAGTAACGCAAAATTTTACCCAACTAGTTTTTTTACAGATGTTTGGGTAGCTCGTAAGAAGCTTAAGTTTAAAATCGGAGAATGTAGGGTGATCACAACACTGGCCGCCGCCATATTGGTAAACGCGTTTATCGCTATATCTCTAAAATTATTGACTACGGAAAAAAATGTTGAGTGCCTTTTTTGTTTATTACTATAATGCGATTCAAATAAGATTGGGAAAGCCAATGACCTCTATCTGTCAAATGTCGCTTGAAATGTACGGTTTTCAAAAAAAAACTTGGAATTCTTTTTTAGCACTCCGCTAATTCAAGAATAAAAACCAAACATTTGTAAACATACAATAACAAATATTGATAATTAATATCGGTTGATATTTTTTTTCACTTATTGAGCTTTGGCCATGAATGGTTGATAACCTAAATCGTTAACCAAATGTTACTTTAAGTTGCGTTCAGTAACTCGATTTCAAACTTTCGTTTACATAAAGGATGCATGTTCGTATGTGACCTAGTAATAGTGCATGATTATTCATAACTACGCCAGCGGTTATGCAGAGATGAGCGGAATAGATGAGCTAAATTCTGATTAATGTTTTTTCACACAGTCCTAATAAATAAATATTATTAAAAATCGGTGGTTTTTTTTCTCAATCTTAGTAAATAAATGTTATTAAAAATATCTGATGTCTTTTCTCACTTAATCTTAGTAAATAAGTTTTATTAAATAAAAACTTTTTTTGCTCACTATACCTATTTGGTTTGAATTGACAGCTATGACATCACTATATGGCGCCCAGTCGGTCCTAGCCAACTTGATGATACACTCGATACGAGTAATAATAGCTGAGACTCTATGAGCAGTTGTTTTAGAAATAGCAATCCGCTGTCGATGCATGTCTAAAAACTGCAGCAATGCTTATGATTGTCGCAAACCGGGGTTTAAATGTACCGTACATCTGTGTGACTGCAATGAAGAAAAGTGTACCAACAAAGTAAAAATTGAAAATGGCGAGCCAGATGATGTGAAAACTAATATGCTATTTGCTGAGCCAGATGTTGACATTGATCATGAAAATTAATGCTTGATCAATGCATTAAAATCGATGCAAACGGCACAGGACGAAGTGGATACTCAATCAGAAGCAGACCCGTCCTTCCCAGTGGGCACTTTGGGCAAGTGCCCAGGGCCCCGTCATCGATAGGTGGGCACCTCAGATCACAAATACAAAGTCCCTAGTTCTTGTTAGATCACCAAATGGGGGTCATAGAGGCCCCATTATCCTAATATGCCCAGGGCCTCCAATAGGTCAAAGACGGCACTGATCAGAAGATTGTTCTGATTCAGTAGACGAGATTGTTCCTACTGTATCTGGAAAGCGTCGAAAACTATTGTTTTTTTTTATAGATTAATTTTATATCCAGTAAAAAAAACAATAGTTTTCGACGCTTTCCAGATACAGTAGGAACCACCATGGTCCAGTGATGATCGCCAGGAGAGCTACCCTCGGAATTGATAGCGACCCAAAGAACACCCCACCATGTACCTCGTCAGTGCAACCACGACCACTCTGACAAGAGTGCCCGACTAAGAAGAAGAATTTTATAACGTGAATAAATATTTTTTCTACCTTATTCTTTTCCTCGAATTACTTTAAAGATAATATAAAAAATATATATAAAATTGATTTTATCATTAAATTACTTTTTTTTTTGTAATTAATCGATCGAATCGATCGAGGCAGCTTCAATTTGGATACAAGTAAGTGAATTTTCCGGATACTTTTGTAACTTCAATTTAATACCCTTTTTTGGGCCACATGAACAACTCATAACTTTAAAAGTATTTTTTTAATAAAAAAGTATACACATTTGTAAGAAATTCAATGACACATAACTTTTAACGTTTTTTTTATCTATTAATTACATTTTTAATATTTTATAAAGGAAAAACTACAAACATGTTCAAATAAACAGCAATAATTGAAAAACGGTAAAGGTAACCATAAAAAGTTGTAGACAAAAAAGTTATGGATTTTAGTAAAAAACAAACAAGCTAACTATATTTTTTCCCGTAAAGTCAATAATTTCAGAGATATAGCGATTAACGCGTTTTCCAATATGGCGACCAGTTGTGACTACCCTACATTCTCCGATTTTTAAACCTAAGCTTCTCATGACCTACCCTAACATCTGTAAAAAAACTAGTGTGGTAAAATTTTGTTATTTGGTTTTTCTTCAGGGCTAATATAAAAAAGTGCCGACGAATTTAGAACATCCGCCATTTTTAAAAGAAATAGCCTATATTATGGGATCATTTTGCTTTGATACAAAGCATGAGAAGTCTGTATGAGAAGAAGATCCTATTTTAGGGTAAAATGAAACAACAATATTCAACAATTTTTCTTTATTCACTTCGATTTTTCTGAAGAATAACTTCGGGTTAAAAACAATCGATCTCAATATTATAATATATTGGGAATCGTATCTGCTTGCTTGCTATCAATCTATGTTACATTCTGGATACATTCATGTGTTTTATACATTTATTTTGAGGTATTATTCCTAATCCGAAAATAAAATGCTCCAAAATTTAAACTTTTGCACTCAAAAAGTGTATGCAGTGATGAGATGGAAATTATTTCAGTAAGTACTTTTCAAATGGGTTAAGTAGAGTAAATATTTTAACTATATTAGTTAAAGTTTTAAAGACATGTATATCGCTTCCAAAACATATTTTGGGTAATATTGACTTCTAATGATAGAATCAATGCAAGCAGTTTATTGGCAATGTGGCAAACACCGCTCCAAACTCAAAAAAATCATAGTCACCTCATTTACATAAACATTTTGTCAAATACAACGACAGTATATAAATAATCGTATCGAAATTACAACCAACAATAAGTCTATATCAACCAACAGATCTACCAAAAAGTAAAACAAAAATCTCCCATATATATATATATACATAAATGTATTATATACAGTAATGAGTATTGACCAGATTCGTTTCTGATTATATCTATTTTCATCTTAAATAAGAATAAAATAGAAAATAAATAATTTAATTGATTTAAAATTTATGTACATATTGATGTAAATATTATTATTTGTATCATTATCTATTTTATCAGCTTAGCGATTTATTTTATTAGCCTTGCCTTTTTAACTAGTAAGCCTAGATAAAAGAACCACAGTTTGTCAAATTTGCCCATGTGGTTTTATCAGTCTCCCAAGTTATAAGTACAAAGTACCCTGATTGTTAAATTTTCTAATGGCCTATCCACACATGCCGCCGGCTTTCAGACAGCATACCCAACAAATACAACATAAGATGCATGTGCCGGCGGCCTGGCCACCGGGTTGGCCGCCGGCCGTGCCGCCGGGCATGTGGATGCGTCATAAAGAGGACTCCGCGCTTTAGGAAGAATTGGTCCCGTATACACAAGATTCTAGCTAAAATATTCAGCACACCTTAGAATGTCTTCGTAATAAACGTTGCTATAGAATACCGTAATATTATCACTTAAACCTTTTTTAAACTTAAACGAATTTTTGGAAATATTGGTAAGTACCTAAGTTAAATTTATATTTTTGTGATAAATATTAAGAATCAAAAATAATGCATAACTTTTACCAAGAAGATCCTGCGAATACACAGTACTCATCAGCGAAGATAGAGGTATTTAAGTTGATATAGAAATACGCAGGCTCGAAAATGATTTAAGTAGGAGGAAGACTCAAAATGACTATGATTTCTTATTTACAAATGTTTAAATATTCTAAAAGACCACAGCCACATTGTAGCACTTAATCTAAGAGTTACATGTATAATTGTTAAACAAAAAGTTTATTACGAACTATTTTAAATAAAATACAACGGGCATTTGGAACTGGTGTCCTAACAAGATCAATATAACAAACCACACCAACACATAAACATAACCAACGTAGGTACAATAAGGCACAAACATTACATTTCAATCACTCATGCATTCTGATTCTGATATGCCGTATCTTACAGTTCTATAATGTGTATATTAAGTAATAGTAGTCTTTTACAAGGCACCGGTTCTAGGATCTGTTTGGTAGGTACATTGTTTTTACCATTTTACAAAAACTTTAAACTACGATCATCTCGTAGGCACCGATCTTTCCGTCAGATATAATCCTACATTTTAAATCCGAGTCTTTGTACTTTTTTTTATCTAAATCTATTTTTAAATGCATTTATCGACTTAACTGAGCCCACTGCTAAAACAACCATCCCTCGCAGTGTTGTCTTTCTTAGGTTCTCCGAAGGGAATGTTTTGCATCCGCAATTTCTTATTCGAGGTTTTACTAATCCGATTAAACTTCGTTACTATTTTTCTGCTAACGGGTAGAGTAAATCTGTACAATTTCCGCAATACAGAGCGGGCTAAGGACATCACAATTCCTAGGCTTGTATTCAAGGTACGTAAATTAATCGTTCATGTTGTCGTCGAATGCCAGCCGAAGGAATCACATTTTGTATGCACTAGGAGGTCGCCCGGCCCAGAATAGAAGCACTAATTCTGTTTTGGGATTCTTTTGGCACCAATGTCTCTCGTCCCAGTTAGAGTTCAGTATCGCGTTGAACTCTCCGTTCAGACGTTAGCCCATCATACTGGCAGCGTCATTATATTTCTTGCGAGACTTCTCCCATTTGCTGACCCAGTCTACAGGGTAGCACATAACTGCCGAGAACAATAGGAATCCACCAGACACGTAGAAGGGTATATCATAACTCTGCGTTTGGTCGTATAGAATACCTGTAAAGAAAAAAGGGCAATAAGTACTGGCATCATTAAATATGTATCTAGAAGAAACGAGGTTGAAATATGCGTGCCTAAATCTAGTAAACTAGTTTTAAACAGTCTACGTTATGATGTTTTAATTGACTCATTACCCATGAGATGTGTGACAAAGTGCTGGTGATTAGTAATGGCTTGCATAATGTTTGGCGTTAAGGTGGCGTTGGCCTTTGTAATTGTCGGCAAAGTGCCAAAATGCTATTATGAAACTGATGAAGAATCGGAATAACTCCAGTTATTTATGGTGTCTGTTCAAAACTCGAATCTTTATTGGGTTAAGGCAGATTAGGTCGACTACATTCCGCTATAAGGTATATAAAATAGTTTCATATTAACCTGAATGGACTAGAATTAATTGATTTATTATTAATGGTTAGGTTAGGTTAGGTCATGATTTCGTAAGTTTTCTGATACTTAATTTTAAAGACTTACCAGCTATAGGGTTGCCAAGTAAAGCTCCAAGTCCTTGGAAGAGGAGGAACAATCCGAAGCAGTTCGTCAGCTTTTCCAATCCTAGGTACTCCACTACCAAGATGGACCGAAGAGACGCAAAGCATGCTGTAACAAATGAAAATACATTAACTTGGATGTTCCTTTATAACAACTTTCATAATTTATATTCGGACCTTATTCAGTATAAAATATTAACAAAAAAAAATACCTATATTCGTCAATTTCTAAAGAATTATATTGCTCAAATGAAATAGGTAACTTACCGACGGCGAGGCCGAATACGACAGTGTATCCGAATTGGTAGACATCGCTATAATAGAGCCCGCTTAACATGGTGGCAATGCCGCCTGCAGACAAGGCGATGTTGTTCAGCCATAGTGGTGAAACCTTCGGCATAGACGAGACCATTCCACAGATGACACGACCGACGATATTCGACACTCCAATAGCGGACACCAACCAATCGCTGCTCGATTTGCTTACATTGAAATCTAAAGCTCTCTGTTTGATATACATGTATGGCACAAAGAATCCCAACATTGTGAAAAGTCCGCTCACTGCCAAAATCACGAAAGTGGGTGAAAGGAATAGGTTGACATCCAACATAGTAGCCAGAGCTCTTCTCACAGCCTCCGGGCAAAATCGGCACTTATTGGATCGTTCTTCTTGAGCATCTTCCTTAGTGGGAACATGAGTGACAGCCAAGTGATATCCCAGTGAAGTACGCGAGGTATACTGGGGTAATCTTGTCAAGCTAGCTCCAAAGAAAATGTCGTCACGGTACAGAGGCCTGGCCAAATCAGCGTGCGAACGCCGAGAATTATAATTTACGGGCCTAACTTTAACTTTAGAGGTGATAAGAGGTTCAGTATTGTCCATGTGACTATTGGAGTCTTCCTGTTCGTCTTTTTCAGCTACAGGGACATCTATGAATAACGGTTTGTTTCCAAGCGCGTTTTTGATTGCACCAGCGTTAGCTGACGAACGCCGACTGTATTGTGTCAAGTGGGAATTGCTTCCGCGGAAAACTTCTTCCGCTGTCGGGTACCGCGTGTTATTGGCTACACCCATCCATGTATGAGGTGTGACTTTATTGGTGAATCTTTCATGGGGCATGGAGATGCCAGAGTCAAATTTAGACTGCAGTTTGAGCATACTGTTGAGTTTTTCCACGGCCTCCTCGTGGCGACGTGCTTCGTCTTCTTCGCTGGAGTCATCTAGCGTTACGCGGACTGGTTCGATTGGTCGGAACATGGCTCCGAACACAATGCACGACAGAAGCATTCCTGTTGAGAGAAAAAAAAAGAGATATTTATGCCACTGAAGAGAATGAATGAAGTTATGAGTAAATTAAAGTTAGAATTGCTACAAACCTGCATGAACAAGAACAGTGATCCTCCAACCATATAATTCATTGAGTTTGTCGGTCAGGGGTGCCATTACGAAGGTGCCCACGCCGGATCCGCAAAGAGCGAGTCCTGTCGCCAACGCTCGCCATTTCTCAAAGTAGAAGCCCACTGTGAGCACTGCTGGCATGTAGATCATGCAAAGACCGATTCCTGTAACACCATAAAGTCACAATCAATATAAGTTTGAAAAGGGTACCTATTTCAGAGTTAGCATATCACGTTTTTACATGCATTCCTTACTTTAATAATTTCTAATAGTACAGAGGAAAGCACAATACCAGTAAGTAACATTTTATTCTTTGAAAGTTACTTACCTCCAAAAACACCGTAAATGATGTAAAGGAACATGACTCCGTCAGCGTAGTAAGATATGGCGAAGGAGCAGCTTGCAATGATGCTACCCGCAATAGTGACGGAACGAAACCCATACCTGGAAAACCATCGATACAATTATTTTTCTGCTATGAACTGAGATTTTGTTCCGACAGTGGTGTCAAATGTCAATGAAAAACAGATACTGATGTTACATTTAGTTTTAAGTTTAGAGAATCATGCCAGAATTTACTCCAATCATTTATGTATTTATTCAATGTTTGCAATATTTTATATATACCACGATAAGTCTGCAATGGACTGACAGTAGCAAAAATTAAAACTTTGCATATGGCAATACTGATTATAGTTAAATATCCCTATCCCAGATACTTTATTAATAACTGATTTAAAACGAGGAGTTTCTAAATTATATAACAGGATCTAAAAAATCCTTTAACGAAGTCAAAGGCCACGTATTTGCCATATCATGACGATCATTTTTTTCTTCTGGACATACCTATTTTTTTTTTTCAAGATTTATACATTAATATTTTCAAACGTTATTTAGAAACTTTTTTATCTTCGCATTTACCCACACGCACACACATACACACAGGCACATTCTTTGCGTAGCGCCACGTACTATACATTGCGTATCTACTGGATTAAAAATATTATTTTAAACTTAAAAAAACAAATGATTCCCACGTATAATATTTTGTAATATTACTAGTTTGGGTGTACAGAATGCGTAGTTTAAGTTTTTTTTACAACCTGTATGTAAATAGTTGTTCGTAAATTTATGGGCCGATTTAGATGATGATGAAAGGGTAAAATCAGATTTTATCGTCTGTCTGTCTGTCTCTGTCTGTATGCCACGGGTCTATAGATCAAAAAAATAATCCAAACACACTCGTTGAGGTTAGGATTTCTTAATAAAATTACTCTTTTTTCATAAGGACTGACTCCATTTGTTCCTCTGCAGATTTATTATGCCTTATTATTTTTATAAATAACTTTCCCGATTCCAATTTTCGCTCTTCTATTTACTCAACAAACAAAAAAAAAAATTTAAAAAAATCTTCAAATATGAGATTCTTCCATGACATGAATATGTCATGATATTTATGTCATTTTTGAATGACGTCTTAAAAGGGCTGCCAGTTTAATACTTTTGGTGTGACCACATTATTGACTTTACAAAGTTATCGTGATTCGACTTTACTTGTGTACGATCGGGATTTCGAAATTATAATGATATAGTAGCTGAAGTTTTCTTTTACAACAATTTGACTCGTATGTGGGGTGTTTTGAAGAAACATTGTGATCTCTTAATTAATAACTAAAACTAACTTTTACTCTATCAAATCAAATAAGTAAGAATCATTAGCGCCATAGACGCGTGAGTGTTCAAAACCAAAAACAACATCATTAAAAATATTTGTTATGACGTACTATTTTGGACAACATCAAGACCTAAGCGGTCACAAAAACATTAATGATTCTCGTGCCACTTAGAAAAAAAGGAAATCTTTAAAAACTTAATACATACTTGTTCGCTAAAGCTGATATGAAAGGACCAGCCAGAAGATAAAAACCGGCCAGTAATGAATTCACCGTAGCCACTTCCCCTTCACTAATCTGTAACAAAGAAATAGGAATGAAATGACAAGGCGATCAAGTACTCATGAGCGGATATAATCGAAAATTTCCTTTTTTTGTGCATACCTACATTAAAACGGAAGTATTAACTAGAAGTAATTAATACCTAGGAGGTAGGAGGTGGATAACGCATTCGTGGAAGTTAAGCTAATTCCGCAATAGTCGATCATTGGATGGGTGATCAAAAAATTATTATCTCGAGTTCCTCTGTTTCAGAAGGCGCGACAGTTGATACCGGCTGCGTCTGCAGTCGTTGGCACACACCAATCCGCACTGGACTCGCGTGGTGGGTCATGGCATGGCCCAATCTCCCTATTCCATCCATCGGGAAAGACATTAATTGGCTGGCGATGATGATAAATTGGTCGCCAGGTTGTTCAATCGATTGTTTAATCTGTTTTTAAAATACGCTGTCGATTTCCTTTCGAGTGTGTTTTGAAAGTTGAGCTTAAGTAGAGTCTCTAGCTGGACGAAGAAATAATTCGTGTTTCCGTTGTCAACCTTAATTTCCTTTGGCCGAGTGACCCTGATTAGGAGCATTCTGCGTTTATCGCTATTTGTCTTTTTTTAATTTCCTATCTACGTAGGTACAGTCAACATTTTTAAGACTGATTCACAGTGGTAAGACGCAAAAGTAAACAAAAACGAGTTGGACTAAAAAAAATTTTTTTTTGTTTTTGTTTTAATGCTATCATTTTGTTTTATACTAATATAAAAATATAATGATAATTTTAATATCAGTAATATAGCTATATAAATTTATCGTGATTCTTCATGAATATTAAACATACTATTAAGTACGTAGTTAGTTTGTTATATGTATATGCCGTCGTCCTAAGATTATAATTACTACATGCGGACTCTACATCTCCAACCTTGCATTCTACAGATAACTCACGCTCTTGCACGTGGCAAAATAAGTTTTGATGGAATGGCAAATCTTGGAAACGTGTATTCCTACAATATTACAAATGCGAAAGTTTGCATTATGTTTGTTACTCAATCATGCAAAAACGGCTGAACGGATTTGGATGAAATTTGGCACGCCTATAGTTTATTATGAAGATTGAAACATAGGAGACTTTTAATCCCGAAAAAATGTTAGGTTCCTGGGGATTTTCGAAGAACTAAAGTTAACGCGAACGAAGTCGCGCGCGGCCGCTAGTAGTAAACAAACGGTTAGGTACCTTCCTATGTAGTACAGTGCGTTGTGGCTTTTTAAATGTAGACGAGAGCAGGTGGTTATTCACCTTGACTATGTAAACACTGTCTAACTATGAAACGAATGACCCGTATACCGCAATAACGAAACTGCAACACGAACTCCATATTTGTAAGTGGCCACACCCACGCCCCCTATGACGTTAGACGCAAAGGTCATTATTGGAGAGAGAAACATCGCTAACATTGGCCTGTTATCGGTAAGTATGAAAGTATTTTGACCTTTATTTTCGTTTTAGTTAAGCTCAAAGATTGCAGGGAGTATTTTCATTTACGCATATGGTGTCATGGACTTTGCCAAGGCAATGCAACATAATAGCTTTCCTAGGTTGCCTATTTGCAGTAAGGGGATAAGGTGAAGTAATGGACGAGACCCATGAGAAAGGTCTAAGTAGCATACATAAGTTAGTACTTAAAGACATTAATGGTCGAAACAGGCTTTTGAAACGCGACGCGTATTTTCTATGATCAGTGTGTGTTTATCGTGTCGCGTCGGATGTTCCTAACGTGATTCTGATCTTAGAAAATTGTACATTTGATTTGACTCAACACCTCGTTTCATAAGTTTGCTATCTTCCTAAATAGACTTCTTATAAACTTATATTTACATACAAAACTTAATATTATTATTTACTATTTGACAGCAGCGATGAAATTATATAGTTATTAATTATAAGCGCCCTATTTTTTTTTAATATTGTTGTAATTGTACTTTCTGCATTCTCAATTAATATATAATAAGTTCTCAAATAAAGAAACATTTATTTAAAATAAACTTATGGTAAATAGCGATAATAAATATTTACCTTTGGCTTTTAAACTATAGGTACAAGTTAATTATGGGATACGAAGATTTTTCGAATTGGATCGTTTTGACACTAAAACTTTACTAGAAGTGTTAGCAAATAGTATGTACCTTCTTATATTATTACTAGTAGTTACTGTTATATAACAGTTACTTGCTAGTACTGATTACATTCTAAAGCGAGAGATCACGAGCCTTAGAATTTTCAATTTAAATTACATTTCCATGTCTGCTACCTGACAATTCCTCAGTGACATACAAATGTATTCATTAGATATAAGACTTTGTCGATCCTTTAGTAATTATAGTGTATAATTATATAAAATAATAATTGCATAGGCCAGAGTAACATAAATAATTCAAGACCTTTTTTAAAGGCAAACTACAAACAGTTAGCATAAATGAAAATATTATACAATACAATTGCTCAATAAAACCAATTAAAACAAAAGTTACATCATTTAAGGCGGTTACCATAAAGTAAGCGTGTGAATTGATGTTATCTATTCTGAAAATTGTGGTGAACGCGTAAAAACCCTAACTTATGCCGAACACAGATAAATTGTTAGCAAAAAAATGATGACTGATATAAACAAAAATGGGTGCGTGTACTTATGTAGGCGCGTGAGAAGTTATCCTTCTTTGGCATCGTTTAAAATTAGTTTTTAATTGCATGCAAATAATTAATTATTTGCGCTTTGGTTCCGTTGTTCCAGATTAATAAAAACTTTTGATATTATAAATATGAATACCTATAACTGTTACTTTATTACAAAAAATAAAGATGTGGTTTTTGGTTCTACTACGCCAATGGTCAAGAGATGGCGCTGTAGTCTCCTGAATCGCGCTTTGGTTCCGTTGTTCCAGATTAATAAATACTTTTGATAGGCCTTCACAATGCAGTCGTTAGCACCCACTAAATAGAGATTCTATTTCTATTTTGTTGGTAGATTTTCTTAATGTGCGGTAAACACAAAAGTAACGCATGAACTTCATGCTGTTAAAATTTTGTGTTACAGTGATGCGCGCGCATCTTAAAATTTCACTCTCATCATTTTTTCATAACGCGCCTAAAGAAGTATAACTTCAAAAACGGAAGGTAATTTAAGAAATAAAATGAATTTATACTTTGTTCAAATTGACTTATTGAAATCTCTTTTGAATCGTCCAATATTTTTTCCTACCACCTATTCGGGACATCTTGTAGCTGACGAGAAGAATGCCCACTCTTATCAGCATTTAACAGAAGTAGCAACATTTACAAAAAATTATCATGTCGCTACGAATACAACGTCCGTTCACATTTTGATGTGTCATACAGTACCCTTAGTATGAGTTAGAGCTCACGACAACTATCATAGCTTTCATAATTGTAAATTATGTTTTAATATTCTTTTTTCATGGTGTCGCCGACTCGAGAGGTCCCGGGTTCGAATCCCGGTGGGGGCAGATGTTTGTGTGATGAATACGAGCATTTGTACTCCAGTCATGGATGTTTAATATGTATTTCTATATAAATATACTTATATATGTACTGTATATGTATTCTATCCGTTATCCTAGCATCCCATAACACAAGCCTTACAGTGCTTACTTTGGGGCTAGGCTAGGACAATTAGACGGACAGACCGCCAACAAAGTGGTCGTATAAGGGTTCCTTTTTCTTCTTTTGAAATACGGAACCCTAAATTTGTTAAATACTTTGCAGACAAAAATTATGCATTTTTGCCTTACGAAAAAAAACATGAATATTAATAAAAAAAAATACGGGCATCAAATAAGTTGCTACACCCAATTAGAACCATTTAATTATATATCGTCTGACAACCGAGATACTGGCGCCATAATCATCGGCGGAACTTTTCCACTCATACGAAATGCAAAACGAGCCTACCAACTCTTGCGAATTTCACGATTTTCAACTCGTGTCTTATTCATTAAACAAAAATAATCTCTATGACGTTTAAAACAAAAACTACCCTTTTAACATGATTTAGGAACGCAAAGAATTCTGAGACTACGGGGCAATGCACCGTCTCTGCCTCCTGACGTAGATTGTGACATTTCATAGTTTTTAACTAGAGGGGAGACAGGCAATGATTTTTCCATACAAACGTTCTCGGCTGATTCCTCCTTGACTTTTATCACGAAAGAAATAATTTTCATACATGAAATATTATTGAATGAAATATTATTTTACTCATTTTATGCTCCCATATCTTCCTTTTTTCGATAATCTGTGTTTATAAGCAACTAGAAGCCCTCAAAAGTGCCAAAAATAAACATATTTTTATCATCACTAAGGACGTTTAGTGTGGAAATTCAATAAGCATTTACAAAAAAGCATAACGTATAAACCTTGTATAACTACTTATTATTCTATGGGCAAATTTTCTTTTGCATACCTATATCTAATTTTTCCAACGAGGAAATCTTCGAGAGTCAAACTTCGAATTACACAATTTTCAGCGTTAGCTATTGTTATCCCTATCACACGGTATTGGCCAATGCGCGACAGCAATATTTTTTTCTAATAACTAATTCCCAAATGTCTCCAACTTGCGTGTCTTTAAAAAATGTTTTCATTAAAATTTTTAATACCTTTTGCTCGGATTAGTAGATCAATAAAACCTCAACATTTGACTCGAAAAACTGACCAGTTTTAAATTTTCAACAATACAATCAGTAATTCATATATTCAATTGTTAACATATAAGGACAACTGCAATGCCACATATATCTATAGATTCATTTTCTATAGTTGTAGCGCGACCTGCATAGTGATGTAACATTTTTGAAAAAAAAAAAGGTTAATATCGTTGTTTTTTTTCTAAATTTGATTTTCTTTTCTTTCAAGAAAATAATCTTTGGAGAATAAATCCTCTATTTTAGGTATGTTGTGCTTGATTTCATACTTGATTCAAATGCGTTAAGCTAACTGCGTTCATACTTC